TTTGTCCATAAAGAGTACTTATGCAGTTAAAGAAATAAAAGGCTTGTGATGATCGCCAAAGTGAATGTTAGGGTAGAACTATTGTTACGACAATAAAAAGTTGTTTTAAGATTAAGTAATAAAGTATGTTTTATAATTTAAACTGCAGAAAATTAAGGTATAATTTGTATGTCCTTGAAAATTTACTAAAAAGTAAATTAAAGTAAATATATAAATACAGTAAATATTTATATGTTTTTTTTTAGTACGACTGTTCAGACGGACAAAATCTAATTAGGTATCGGACAGAAAAATACATGAATTCAGATTAAACTTAATACAATTAATACAAAAAACAGCGACTTACAAACTAATTACACAACAATAGAATATTAATAATATATAAAAAAAGTATAATATAAATCTGAAATTACTTTATAATATATCGATTTATAGCGCATTAGCAGAGCAGTTAAAAATGTCAAAATATGATTGGTATAAGTCATATAATAATTAGTGCACGGTTTACAAATATGTAGGAGAATATTTAAGTACGTTTTTCTCGGAGCTGTCAAATAAAAAAATGGCGTTAGAGCAAGTTTGAACAGCTGGAATACTAAAATTAATGTTTCTTGAAATATCTCGACAATCTATCGCAGCGGACAAAAAATTTACGGGGCGTATCCTTTAAATTAAATATACGGAATAATTCCGATTACGAAATAGCCTGAGGTGGGCAAATACCATCTAGCTTAAAACTAAGATGTGAGACACTTTTTCTGATTTTTTTCCAAATTAGAAATCCTCATACTGAGGATCCCGAATAATTTTCGCGTATTCCAATTTTGGCTTGACAAATGCACTGAAAGTTAGATAAGGGTTGAAGCATTTTTAAAATACAAATTTAGAATTTGTCATAATAACACCCATAGTTAATAAGTTTGCTCAATATGACCCACGAAAATCAATTTTGTGTCAAAAATTACCTAGGGACTTCGCCCGTGTTCGGCGAAAATGGAGGCATTTTTGAGTATTCACTCATAAAAAATCATTAAAATGATGACTAATGTTTTTAATTTCTTTATTCGAATAAATAACCGTTTTTTAAGTTTTACTCGAAAATCAGTTTTTTTTTTCGAAAAATATAAGAGTGTAGTGATTTGTAAAAAATTGAAAGACGTATCCGAAAATATCATGGTTGTTACCGTAAAGCAGTGACGTACCCTCCCCTAGAGAGCCCGGTGCCCTCCTCAGAGAAAAAAAAACCGATCCAATAATATAATCTTTTTGGTAGGAGCGGGCCCCTTATTAAGGCCCACGAAAAAATCCTACCTACGCCCATGACTGAGTGGTACTTATATAAGGTTTTTGTAGATCGACCAAAATATGATACATGTGCTTTTGCATAAGTTGCAAAGAATAACTATTGTCTTCAAATATTCTTTAAGTTTATTTATTTTTATTGATTTGTGAATAGCGAATATTTGCAATTAAAATCTGATTTTTTAAATATTTCTATTTACATCGCATATTTTTTAGATTTGTCTTTTTATTACTCCGCTATTAAATTAATTATCTTATCTTTAACAACTTAATAAGTTAATGCGACATAAAATAAATCGTAACGAGTTGGTTTTCGAAGCGGTTAAAAATTTACATCACTACAATCAGATTTAATTTATTTTCTCCCCTCTCATATTTGTTAACATATTTGTACTGATTTCAAATGATTTTAGCAATCAATGTTAATTGAGGCATATAGCCTATAAAGTAGTTGTTTCGAGCAATATCAGCAGTTAGAAATCTTATTTGTGGGGTTCGATAATTTGAATTAGCTTTACATTTTTACAATAAAGTAAAAAACATATATTTCAGTCAAACTAAACAATTATCTAAATACCTATTGATATTTAAATAGAGAAAAATTTAGTAAAATTTAATTAACCCTTCCTAGAACCCCACGTCTACGCCCATGTCAACAAAATATTGTTTTACTTAAAATCCTGCATTTATTGAATATAGTACGTAAATTTAGCTCAAACATTTTGTTCTGCTACAGAATGGTCCTTGTAGTGATGACAGTTTAGTGCCCCCTCTACGATTCAAGAGGGGCGCCACTGGCAATTCTTCTCTGGAGAAAAATGCCACTAGTGACTGGGAGTCTCAGTTCAAATACAGAGTGCAAATGCCCGAAGAATCAAAGCAGATTGTAAAGACTTTCCCTGTTTCCACGGAATTTTTATTATTTGCCTCCATGTTAGGACTTTGTTTACTTGTTATAATAATTTTAATTACGATACATTTGAAGCGAAAAAATTCAGATGCTAGGCTTAATTAAAAATCTTGCCTTAAAAATTAATATAATTTAGCTTAATTAGTTTAGTTTGTTTCATTATTTCTGGTTCTAATTTACTTACATCACCCTGTATATAACAGATTTTTGTCACAATAACTTATGAAATTATTTACTAATTAATATTAATTTTTAACTGAAATGATTTTCTCTAAATATTTATATTTGTTAGGACAAATATGCACAAATAGGGCATAATTGAAAGGAATAAACTGTAATCAGACGTCATATTCTTATCTAGTATTAAGGTATCCTTAATTATATACATAGGTAGTTAATGTTATTTTTATATGTTTATTTTTTTGTAATACATGTTTATTTAATTCAATGTTGTGGTGTATTTATTATCCTGTACGTTTTGATTCAAAACAAGAGCCGGTTTGTAGCAAATGTTATTGTCATTTAAAACACATTCATTTGTTGGGTCAAGAATGCACAAACAGGGATATTCTGGTATTCTAGCTTAATTAAAACAGACATGAAATGCTTTGAACTGAAAAAACTGTTGGGTATTTATCTTCAAATTGTAATTCTTTCGACTTTATTTAATTCGAGTATAAGCAGCAAGTTATAAAATCGTCTGTAATGTTCAGGTCTGGATGATTTACTGGTCGAAATCCTTGTTGAAGTTTTCATATTTCTTACCTCAGAGGTTAAAAACAAAGAAAAACTATTGTTGTATTAAGCTGAAATAAGTATAAATGTAGAAAATGCATTTTATAGTCAGAAAATTTGTTTTTAAATATGTTTATAAAATATTTTGATACGACAGTAAGTATCTGCGTATTCTCGAATTGGGAAAAAAATTTACTTTCATTTATTGATAAAACTAGTGCCCCATTAAAAAAGATGCCGATAATATTACAATGTCCAAATCCAAAGAGTGTACTTTATATGATAAAATTTTTGTTATTTGTATTTCTGAAAAAGAAAACATAATAACAGCAATCATTTATGCTTCTCCAAAGACTGCAAAAATATGCACCTGAATTTGTGTCATCATCATATCCATAAGTTAAATTTGACATTTTTTCCAAACATTAAAAAAGTCATTTAAAAAAGTTGATATGCAAATGTTTAGTTCAAAATTTAAATACTTACCTACCTTTTATTTTTCTTTTATAATTACAGTTTTTCCATTGTAATATCTCAGAAAAGTTAGGAATTTCCACATACTCTTTTTAACCATTTCTTTTTTACTTTGGTTATAATAATAAAATACTGACAATAGACATTTTTAATAGTGACGTCACATACGCCAAATAATAAGCAATCCCATAATAGTGCACATTGTCATGAAGGATTTCTCAATATTTTTACTAGATCGATTTTCGACCTTATGTACTTTAGACATAAGTGCTAAAAAATGGCTTCTTTTTTCATGACCTTAAATATCACGATATTCTGGCAATATTAGAAATATTTACGAAGTTTCAAACCGCAAGGAGAAACTAATAGAACTATACAATTTATATTTTTAAAATAGAATATTGACTTTTATAGTAATCAGTAAATTAAAATTATATCAATGTTACTGATATAGAGGCAAGAATCTGTGGACATGCACAAATAATTTCCATAAATATATTTTTTTAGAAAACTATAATAAATCTTAAAATGTTCTATATTTCCCACACTTAATTTCTTCTGATGGAATATTCGACCACACCACTCTCAAACCAAAACAACAGTAGATATACTGGGTGTAACGTAAAGGTTGGGAATAAATTAATCGGACATTTTTCTCATATGAAGTTATGCTCTACGGGTTTTATTTTCCAAGCTACAGGGCGCTAGTTTTTCTCCAATAATTTTCGAACATTATAAGATAATGGAACGAAATTTTAGCCTTAGCTTAATTTGATAATCCCCTAGTAACAGGAAAAAGATTGACATTGTAAGTTACTCAGTGGCGTGCGTACGGATTGTTCCGTAAGGTTTTTCGAAGAAAATTGTGGTACGCTACTGGTAAAAACATGTTTTTAATATTTTTTATTTTAAACAAAATTATCCTCTTGCGTTTTATTCCTAGCTCTTAATTTTTCCGTAAATAAAACTTTTGTAAATACCATTTTTCCCACTGCTAACATTGGAAAAGAAAAATAACAAAAACATTATGAAGTATGCTTTGACTCAGCTATCGAACATGGACAAATAGGCACTGAAAAAAGACTTTTGCATTGAAAACGATATTACATTTTTTAGGACTGTAGCTTGGAAAAGAAAACCCGTAGAGCATAACTGTATATGATAAATATTTATTTTTTTAAATAAAAAATCCACCTTTTAATTTATTCCCAACCTTTACGTTACACCCTGTATGTAAACCAGAAAAAATTTACATTTTATATTTTGGCGCGGTAGTGCGATTATTAATTAATAAAATCTTATTAAATTCAAATAGAAACATCCGTTAAAAAACTTTTAAACGGTTTTGTTGTAAAAACTCATTATTTTGGCATCAGCTGTAACTCCTTTTTAAAAAATTAAAACCGATATTGGAAAACGCCCCGTCTGAATGAATTTGAAACCTACTTTGCAAAATTTATTCGTACCAGACGCATAAAAATTTAAAAAATTAAAACCGATATTGCAAAACACCCTGTCTGAGTGAATTTGAAACCCACTTTTCGAAATTTATTCGCATCAAAAATAAAAAGGTACTTACTGTGTTCCCTGAGCAGGTTCAACCCTTGTAGGGAAAACTAAACACAAACAAAACGCAATCGCACACGTTAGGCAACGCTTGCTGTGACCACGAGGCACCGCACACGGCGTACACCACAGATTTTTGCGATAATCTCGTCAAAAGGCGCTTAAATTTGAAACACAGGCTCTATGCAGATAAGTAATCACCAGTGGAATATTTCTCATCGCGCGGCAAGTCTGTTTGTGTAAGGCTACGAAAACATTATGACAGGTATTTAATATATCATTTAAATTTATGGTGGGTACGTACCTTGGAGCTTCGATAGTTCTGACATACAGGGTGTTCCCGACGCGCCTGGAAAAAATGATTGCTTAGCCCTAAGTTAACTCCTAATATTTTGTCGGACAAGATTTGACACTTTCACAATTCTTGTCCATAATTTCTGCTCTTCTAATGTAACATAAACTTTGCCTTTCGTAAACTCTTAAAAATAAAAATAAAAAATATTCAGGTCGGGTGACCTGGCAGGCCAATTTATAGCTGCATCGTGTCTAATTCATAGCCTGACAAATTGGTTACTAAAAACTACTGCACAGTTGATGGTGCACCATCATACAGAAACTATAATATTGAAGTGCGCATCTTTTAATGAACCATTAATACAAAATTGATTGGAAATGGTAATACAATTATTGCCTTTGGATTATCGTCAGTCCATTCACAACTACTGTGATATCGTAAATAGGAATGCGTTGCAAAAGTCATTATTTTCATTTTGTTTATTCCTGACCCAGTTATATATGAAAATATAGTCTAGAATCGCTATCCTGGGACAAAATTACGTGAACTCTGTTAGGCGACAGGGTCGTAATTGTTGTTCTCTTAATATTCTGTGTACCGTAGATTTTGAAATATTGTATTCAGCAGCAATTCTTCTTACATTTGTGCAACTGTTTCTTCTACATCTACAGTCCTTATAAGCCATGGAGCGCGTTCTCTAGTATGATCTCTTCTGCAATTATTAAAGATCTATGTAAAGGGTTTCTCTTTCCCTTTTTATCTCTCAATATATTCAGAACACATGTGGCGAATTTGTGGAGATTTCAAAATTATTGCTGCTAGTTTGGGACAGCATTCAGAATTTACTTACATTAGTATAGGATCTGTTAATGTCAGTCCTTTGCTAGATCTATCCAAAGTTCTGCTTCCTCAACTACACATAAAACTTGCCTATTGAAACAATTCGTCAAGGCTTTGCAAATGATGTAGAATTTCAAAGGACTTGGATGTTTAATGAACCTGAAAGAGCACTTTATGGACCATAGTGAAGAGATAATATAAAACTACAGAACACTGCCCTGAATCCATTCGTAAAAACCATTTTTTATTAACTGTATGTGCATTTTCTCTAATATAGTGGATGTTAGTGTTACAATGACTTCAGATTCACATTCAACGTGTCCGAAAATATGGTGCAAGGGTTATAGAATCCAGTATATGGGCCAGCCTATCCCACGACGTTTACAATCCTTAAGCATGTTCGCATAACCCCTTTCAATAGATTTGGGGGGTGCCAAACTGACTTCAGATTCGTGTTCAAAGGGTCCGAAAACAATAACATATTGATCAAAGACCAGAACACTTTTTTCATATACGAAAATAATTTTCAAATAACTTTAACATTCTGTATCCCGGAAAAGCAACGTTAATGAGAAAAACTATTTTACCAGAAGAAACTCACCCTCCAATTTTTTTAAGTACAAACAGGGCACTCTGTATGTATGAAAATCTAAAGCGCACCACACACGTTCAGTTTGTCTTTCGAGATGTAAACATATAAAGATCAAGGCGGTTTGGCTTGGGATAATCTTGTTAAATTCGAAGAAAAAATGCTTCTATCCTTGTCGCCACTATAACCGAGTCGCCTATATAATTAGCGTGCACTATTTACCAAACAAAATAGTCAAACACCACTTCTAATCGGCCGATTTAATGGCACTCCACGTACCCGCGCGATAAGGTTGTTTTGATAACCAAACATTAATATTCAATTTAGCTACAAGCTGAACATCGTCGCGTTTTGTCCTACGCCAAAGTTCACCGTACACAAGGCTCGGAAATCGTACTAGCAGAATATTTTATTTATTTTGATTGTGAGTTTCCAACGCGCGGAAACTTTGATATGCCGGTACCGTCGTTCCAGTCAATGCAATGTCTGTCCGAAGGCCGTCGTAGTTTCTTGTAAGATAATCGTGATCTTCAAGGCGAACATATAACCTTCGGGCGAACACAATGCCAGTTAATAGACGACGAAAGTAAAAAAAGTCTAGACTTATGGGTATTTTTTTAAATTTATGGTAGTTGTGTGGTCCACAGCTGCTTGCTTAATATTTAAGGAGTTAGGAAACGTTAGAGTGTCCCGAATTTTAACCACGCATATATAGGACGAAAAATAATGGCACAGCTATACCACGTTCTTGAGAAACAGGACGTTAAAGTTTAAAAAAAAACTTATCTAAATATCTTTTGAACACATGAAGATATTGAAGTAATGTTTTGTGTGCATATAAATACATAAAAAAACAGCATTCAATGTGAAAAAATTAAGTCTCAACCGCTCGCGTAGGTAAAAAATATACTAATTATATTTTCCTGAAAAATTATGGTAAGTTACCGAAAAATAAATATTTTTTAGACATTTTTGAAATGCAAATTTTGTTTTGAACAGAAATGATTCATTCAATGGCATCCATTGCCAATCCATTGTGTTGATTGGACTGTCGTTTGAATGTCATAGCCGTAGAAACAGGTTGCATCTCCCTTTATGATCCTTTGAATGAATGTTTCATCGTCATTGGATAATTCAAGGAGTTGCCCACAAACGTCCACACGAATTTCTTTCTGTTATTCGGTCATCCATCAAACGAGGAACAAATTTTGCTGCAAGATCTTCGGACTTTCTGAACTGGGAGTCGAAGATCTTCCTGGTCGCGAATCATCTTCAACTGACTGACGATCACTTTTAAATAGTGAAAACCATTCGTAACATTGCAAGGGCGTGATATCCGTAAGCTTCTTTCAAAAGGTGAAACCTTTGCGTGAATGTTTTCCCCAGTTTCCGGCAAAATTGTTTGTTTCATCTTTGTTCGAGAAAATCATCACTAACACTTAAACACGTTGTAGGTACTCAAATAACAATAATATCACGAAAACTAAATGAGATACCAACAATCGAAGAATATGTGGTTACAAAAGAAGTTATGCGTAATGCAATGCTGCCAATCGCAGATCTCCATTAGCGCGTAATTTAAAAAGTTCGTTTATTTTCTCAACAGACCTCGTATATTCGTACGATCATAAATTTCATAAATTTATTTGTGCCCGAGCAAATTAAAAAAATATATACCTATTTTGGATGTAGCTTATTTTGTGTGGCAGAAAAAAATAAATCGAAAATTCATTTTGACACAATGCGTTATTTTAACAACACAAAAAATGATAAAACCTTTAATATTAATTTTACGATGAGCAATGAATATTTTTTCCATGACATTTGGTGTAAACCACAATGAGTAGGTGCAAAATACAGTGTCGTAGTCAGATTTTAAATAAAAAATTCGCTAATTTTCTCAAAATTGACACCGGAAAAAAATAAATTGTAGGCTTTCATAAGTGAAAATATACTATACTATGTAGAAGGATTTTTAAAGCTCTATTTTAAAAAAATCGGTCAACATATAATTTTTTTTACAAGTGTGTTTCCAGTTGAAATACGTCACACTGTATATTAGGGTGGCCCAAAAAAAAAAACGAATATTTTTTTCGTCTCTTATGAAATATGTTAGTTTATCATGTTTTAAGAGCCCCCTTAAAATATCAGCTCAAAAAAAAATTTTTTAGAGATCGCTCAAGATTTTTAAAAATTTCCAAAATCGTCAAAAATTTAATTTTTTTTTTAATAATTTACTATTTTCTACGTTGAAAAAAATTTCGATTCTGAAAATTTTAAATTGATATTTTAATTTCTAAAGGTCACCCACAATTATTTTAACTTTCAAAGTAATGTACCTGTTTTTTCGAGCGACCTCTAAAAAATAAATATCAACGAACTAATATATTTTTTTATTGAATTTGATGAACAAAACAATAGAAATAAATCAGGACACTTAAATTTTAAAAAATTAAAAAATTATAAATATTTGATACTCAGTGCGGTAGTAAATTTTGCCTCGAGATATTTTTTAGTATCTCGTGATTTATTTCTATTTTTTTGTTCATCAAATTCAATAAAAAACTTATTAGTTCGTTGATATTTATTTTTAATAAATAATTAATTAATTATGAGTGACCTTAAGAAATTAAAATATCGATTTGAAATTTTCAGAATCGAGATTTTTTTCAACATAGAAAATGATAAAATAATGAGAAATTAAAAAAATTCAATTTTTGACGATTTTGGAAATTTAAAAAAAATTTTTTGAGCTGATTTTTTGAGGGGGCTCTTAAAACATGATAAACTAACAAATTTTCGCAAGAGACACGAAACAAAATATTCATTTTAATAATTATACAAAAATTACTACAACAGCTACGAAGACTTAGATGCATATTATATACCTAGACAATTATTGATCTATATTTAAAGAAAAGTCTGCAATCGATTCTTTTTTAATTCTGAATAAATTATTTTATTATAAAACAAAATGAGAAAGCAATAACCTAAATTATTAAATTGTCCCACACATATTTAGACCAGTCATTTAATGTTACACCCAACAGCTTGCACTTTATCATTTAAAACTACTAACTTAATTGAGGTTAATATTAGTAGAAACTTTCCATTTACGTGATCTACCTACTCCTAAAAGTGACCCCAGACCGTATCTTGAACAGGTCAATAAAAAAAAATTGGTGACAATAATTTTGAAAGTATCTTTCAACATGGAGAATGATTAATTGTTTATAATTAAATACTAATCAGTTTACTGGTTATTGACCCATAATATCAAGAAACAAGAAATATGACTCACCGTTAGATGAAGAGATAACGTTGTATAAAAAATCCACTGGGTATACACTTTTCATATTTAGACTTTCTTTACTACCATTTCGTCCATTACATATCCCACTCTAACCGTCACTTTTTACAAAAATGTTTAAAAAATCACCGCAATAGATTTACTTCAACTGTTGTTATTAAAACGCTAAATTTATCTTTTAATAAGTTCGCAGTAAGAGCGTTTGGAGTAAAACAAACCAACTTAAACGACTGTCTATTGTTTAGAAAAAAAAAACTAACGCCACGCCAACTGAGATTCGCTAAACTTGACCTCGGTGGACCAGTATCTTTTGCGTGGCGAAATCGCTGATAAAAAAAAAATTAATCGCTATATCCGGGTCTTGGAAAAACGAATAAATAATATGCATTATGTTTATTTGATTATGCAAAAATCTATCTGCGAATAACATACGGTACAGAAATATTGGCGATTATGATAAGTGCCTTTGATTAATTTCTTAATTTATTACAAACACCGTCGAACGGAATGTAGGTGGGAAACCGGTGGCTTATTTTAAATATTTAAATTAGGGCGATTGTTTTATTACATTGCTCGGTAAATATACGCGAAATTTAAAATACGTGAGCTATGCTAAACTTGAAAATCTTATACAGCGTGAGCCCGTAAACTAGGTGTACATGATAATAACGGGCGAATCAAGCAAAAAACTACATGAATTCTATAATTCATAGTACCTAAACCGAGACTGTGTGCCTTTGTTATAAAACCTTCAGAAATGATTGCAAGTCACGTAACCAGTATTACAGTATTTTTGTTTGGAACAGTTATTTTATTTCTTTCGTGTTGGCAACTAAATTTCGGGAAAATTAAAATTGTAAAATTGAGATATTATATTAAAACACAATATTCTGTTTCATCGGCTGTGATTGGCAAAATATATTAAACTTTAAAAAAATATATGTTTTGCATAAAATATAGACCTATTTAATTTTAAAAGGCATTTTTTTTCACCAATACTTATGAAGTACCTTTATCATATTTAATTTTAACAGTAGTACTAATTTTAATTATTTTCTTTTTTTCCAGAATAAGTTTATTATTTAATAAGTTTTGAAAAAATTATTTTAAACAGTCGTCTTTGAATGGAATATTCTAATTTTATTCAGTCACCCTGTAGGTACCAATATCAATAATTAAATTGAAAACAGTGGGTTTTTTATGAAAATTGATATTGTAATTCCCAACTAAAATAGCAGTATACGTTTAAAATGTACAGTGTAATAAATACTCGTAACGTGAATCAGCTGAACAAATTGTAAAACATGCAATATATCACAAAAATATCGCTGAAAAATCTACGGATTGTCAAAGCTAACCTTACAAACGTTAATATAACTTACCATGGAACTATTTCAAACCCTCTTGTTCACTCACTGTGAACGGAATACGATAAGTACAAATTATTCAGTGAAGAGCAATTAATAATAATTAATTTAACACCACTAGCAACGTAACGTTCGATAACAGCTTACGACTAACACTTGGTAAGATTTGAAACCGAAGAGAACAAACCAAGATCAAATATTCCAAGAAACGGTACGAGAAACATACCGGCGTTTACATTTATTACAGTAAAATAAGAATTACATGTACGTCTATAATTATCGCCTATTCCAGATATAGATAATTACTTTCACATTAACCAGCTCATAAAAGGTTACATTAATAATTTTCATTCATGGAAAATAAATACAATTTTAATTTTTTGAACGCGAAACGTTTTAGATAGGGTACTACAATAATATAAAAGCTATAGGTAAATTTCCCGGGACATTAAATCGATACGTGCAATCGGCAGGATCTCTTAGCGGGCTAAAAAAATTTGGCTGCTTAATTTGAAATTCGTATTGTTGGCGGCTAGTCACGTGGCCTATCTGCCATGCGATTGGCCGGTGGTCTACAGCTGGTTTTGAAACGACGTCAAATCCTGACATTGACAAGAAAAAAACAAAATGGAACCGACAAAGTTATTGTGCGATTCCATTTACTGTAGGTTATGCGCCGAGGAAAATAGTAATGGGACATACTTATTTTCTAGCGAAGAAAATTCTGATAATTTAAGTCTACTTGTAAATAGATATTTGCCACTGAAGGTAGGAAGGTGATACGTTTTAGTATTTAACTTGATTACCTCTGTAGATGCTTAGTAAAACCATAGTGGGAAATTCAAATTATTGCACACCTGACACCTCTTGACATTTTGCAATAAACAGAAATAATTTTAGATTGAAAACGATGGAAAGTACCCCAGAACAATCTGCCCCGGTTGCAACATCCAACTGGAAGCTACGAAATCCTTCATGGACCTTATCGTTGAAGGCCAAGTGAAGCTTAGGGAGCACTATCGAGCCCAGCAAGAAATTTTACACAGAGAAGAGAAACAAAGACAAAAACTAGAAGAAGTATTGCACACAGTGAATCCCAATAGCACAGTTGAGACATACACCATTCATTCTGACGAAACAGGTGAAAAGTTCCTGATACAGAGTAAGTACATAAATATTTATTGCAGTATTTATTATTTAATCATTTTAAATATCTTGTAGTATTCTCCGATGGGCCGTTGTTCCCTCCGGAGCACGAATTGTCTTTACGTGCTGATGGTTTGGAAAAACCGAGGCGAAAGAGGGGTAGACCTCCTAAACAAATTACGGAAGAAGTGGAAATGGAAATAAAAACAGAGTCTGAAGCTATTCAGCAAGAGGAGGAGAGTGAAACTGATGCTGACGGTAGAAAGCGGAGAAAAATTAGGGCTCCTTCGAGGTATCAAGGAATAGTTCAGGTAAGGTATTGTAAATTCATCTCCATTTCCAAATTTTTAACGTGTTATTTTAGGGAAAAGAACTGGACAAAGTGTTTAAAGAGGAAGGTCTTATAGAGGACGATGATGAAATAGAAATTAAAGACATTGAAGTGAACGCTGATGCCGAAGAAGTAATCGGAAGGACAGAAACGGAGAACGGGGAAGATTTAGGGGAGCCCGTGTTTATAAATCGGCCAAAGTTTAGGATACGAGCCGGTAAGTATTTTATCATGGACAAAAATTATGTAAATATTACCATGTTGTATTTAGGTTACGGGAACAAAAGACGTGGAACAAAACGATACCAGTGCGAGATTTGTAAAAAAGAATTCTTGCACTGTGGTCGTTACGAATTACATAAAAAGTCTCACAAAGTCAAGTACGTTTGCCAAGAAGCTGATTGTAACGTAGAAAATGAGATTAAAGATGCGGTCGATCAACACCAATTAGAAACGGGACATAGTGGCGTGTCGGCTGTTGAAATGGTTGAATCTGCGGTAAGCAAAAAACGTTTCTAAAATAATGCTGACTTTATTCGATTCAGGTTGTATCTTTCTTTTTTTTTCTGTTAAATAGGGAGGCACCCTTCAGTTACCGGAAAGTGCCGAGAGCGTGGCGAACTTAACTGAAACAACATCTCCGAAGGCCACCGAGTCGCAGTATAAATGCGACGATTGCAGCAAAACCTTCATCTGCAAGCAGAACCTGGATGTCCATAAACGTGCCGTCCACAACCAGGAGAAGCCGTTCTCTTGCCAGAAGTGCGATAAGAAGTTTTCGTACTCAAACAGTTTGAAGTTGCACATGTTGAAGCACGACAAGGAGGTGGAGCATAATTCTGACAACTCTGTCCTCAAGGAATACCCATGCGAACAGTGTGGGAAGGTGTTGCAGCATCCTAGTAGTTTGATTTACCACCGAGAGACGGAGCATAGCAACGGCAGGCGGTTCGTGTGCAATAAGTGCAATAAAAGCTTTAAACATAGGCAGGTACGTGTATCTTTTGTAACGTCTCATTCTCTGCTTCACAAAGGGTTCGCTCTATATGGACAGTTTTGTCATTTCCTGTTGTTTTTATTGTTTCTCAAACTACGCTCTCTTCCCAAATTGTTGATCAGCAGTAATTGAGGTAAATTGTCAGTTAATTGGAAAGTGATGAAGTTATTGTAACTTTCGGTAATTTATACAGTGTTATTTATTATCTTGTGTGTAATTTATGTTTATCGTACATGAATATCATGACGTTACTAAGCGAATGCGACTTATGAAGCACAATGTATTTATGGTAACTGCCCCTTCTATGTTGATATCCGATGTTATTGACACTGAGATTCACGAACTAAACACAGTGCTTTAACGAAATAGTAACAAATGCTTTTTATTTCAAGTCTATCAAATTTAATAAGTATTTTTATTTGGTTTTTGTTTTGTACATTTTATGAAACAGCAAAATTAATTACTTTAAAATGTAAATTTCACTTACAATAATTAGTAACATATGTCTATCCACATACTAATGTTATTTAATGTTTAATAAATCATATAAAAAATACTAATTTTCTAAAAAGAGTTCAACATATTTTTAATGTTTGGCGCTTCATCATTTTTTTTTTATTTAATAGAAAAGTTATTCGTCGTCTTTAAGAATTAATTAAATAATTAAAAGGTTTACCCTTAAAAAGGCAGCAGTAAAGGAGACTTGACGTCCTGCCAGAGGGTGTTTGACTCCCCAATAATGGGGACATTCCATGAAAATCGGGACAGTTGGCTCTACATGTCCATAGATAATCTTTTAAATAAACCATTTTGTTTTTTCTATCCAAAAAAAAATTTTTGAATTCTTACAAATACAATGTTGTAAAGAAAATATCAAAAATCAAATGTTTCACCATAATACAAATGTTGTCTTGCTTCACCATAAATTAAAACGATATCCATCAACTCCGAGTTGCTTTACATGCAAGCCATTTTTGACATTAACTACTAAAAAAAAAACTATTGTAAACACTATCATAATGACAATTGTAAAATCGGATTTCACTATTCGCAGTCACTGAGACCACGTGGCTCTCTACGCGTGTTGCGAATGATGCTAGAGACTACAGTTGTCCAGTGATACAATGCTTGAAAGTACTACAACTATAAGCATTTTACACAAATTTTTTTACCATATTGACTCCATTTCTCATGCCGCAGCTATTCTCAAATTTTTTTAGATAAGTCGTGAATCACTCTATATATGGTTTTTCTCTTTGTGACACTATTGTTACAGTTACTACAGCGACACCAGCTGGTCCACTCCGACGAACGTCCGTTCCGCTGCAGCCAGTGCCCGGCTCAGTTCAAAACCAACGCCAACCTCGTCAACCACGAAGCCGTACATTCGGGCGAGAAAAAATTTGTCTGCAACAAATGCGGCCAGAGGTTCGCCCACAGGACGTCCCTCACGCTCCATCAACGCTGGCACGAGGGCTACAAGCCTTACAGCTGCGACGTGTGTCATAAGTCTTTCTCGCAGAAGGGAAACCTGGCGGAGCACAAGAGGATTCACACGGGCGAGAAGCCGTACTGTTGCGACCACTGCGGGAGGTCTTTCACCACTTCGTCCCAGTTCAATTTGCACCGGAAGAGACATACAGGTGGGTTCGAAGGCGTAACGTAACTATTGTTTGTTATACCGAACGTTTTTAGGTGAAAAGCCGTGGTCTTGCAACTACTGCTCCAAATCCTTCCTGCACAAAGACACGTACAAAACGCACGTCCGTCGCCACCTCAACGACCGTCCCTTCATCTGCAGGGAATGCCCCAGAGCCTTCACCGAAGCCTGGGCTCTTAAGAGACACGAACGCACTCACTCCGGCATCAAACCATATGTTTGCGAATTTTGCGGAAAAACCTTTGCCGATAGCTCCAACAAAACCAAGCACATGCGAATCCATTGCGCCGGTCGTTCCCAAAGCGATATCAAGTTCCCGAATATGGTCACGGCGAACGTGAAGTATATACTCAGCGACAACCTTCTGAATCCGATCTACGGCGAGCAGTTCGATTTGAAGGATCCTCCGCCTTTATTGGATATTCTCGATAATACGGACAAATCCAAGTTACAAGCGACGTCGGATCTACATCTGACGCAGTTGGTGGATCAGCAGGGCAATCCTATCAGTATTACGACGCAGGACGGGCAGATGGTGCCGGTGGTGACTGGGGCGAACGACGAGGCCAGTATCCAGGGGTTGTTGCCGGACGGGACGTTGGTCCCCATCGAGCTGGCGGCCATACAAGAGAAAGACTTAGAGGTATGTTTGTGATAAGTTACACTCCCTATCATCAAATATTTATTTATATTTATTCTTTTTGATAAAGCAGTTCTCTGCATATTTATTTACTTGATAGTTGCAACTAATAGACTATTTGTTTAAATTTAATAACACAGTTTTTAATCATTATTTATTTACATTTAATATACTTATAGTTGCGATTAATAGACTATTTGTTTGGATTTAATAAATAACTTATAAGTAAATTTATTTTACCATACACAATTTTGAATCATTAAAATATTTACTTACATTTAAAATACTTGATAGTTGCAACTAATAGATTTATTCTAATTTAATAACGTAAGTAAAATTACACCTACTGTAATGAAATAGGTAATTATTTATTTTAATAATATAGTTTTTAATCATTAATATATAATTTATTTACGTTTAAAATACTTATAGTTGCGATTAATAGACTATTTATTTGGCTTGATCTGTTTGGATTTAATAACTTTATAAACAAAACTTACAATCTCCTATAATGAAATATCTGTTTTGATAACACAATTTTTAATAATTAAAATATGTACTTATATTTAAAATATTTGATAGTTGCAACTAATAGACTATTTGTTTAAATTTAATAACACAGTTTTTAATCATTATTTATTTACATTTAATATACTTATAGTTGCGATTAATAGACTATTTGTTTGGATTTAATAAATAACTTATAAGTAAATTTATTTTACCATACACAATTTTGAATCATTAAAATATTTACTTACATTTAAAATACTTGATAGTTGCAACTAATAGATTTATTCTAATTTAATAACGTAAGTAAAATTACACCTACTGTAATGAAATAGGTAATTATTTATTTTAATAATATAGTTTTTAATCATTAATATATAATTTATTTACGTTTAAAATACTTATAGTTGCGATTAATAGACTATTTATTTGGCTTGATCTGTTTGGATTTAATAACTTTATAAAGAAAACTTACATCTTCTAGAATGAAACATCCGTTTTGATAACACAATTTTTAATAATTAAAATATTATTTACTTACATTTAAAATACTCGTTAGTTGCAACTAATAGATTTATTCGAATTTAATAATGTAAGTAAAATTACACCCACTGTAACGAAAGAGGTAATTATTTATTTGAATAACATAGTTTTTAATCATTAATATATTATTTATTTAAAATACTCAATAGTTGCAACTAATATATTTATTCGAATTTAATCATGTAAATAAAATTACACCTACTGTAATGAAGGAGGTAATTATTTATTTGAATAACATAGTTTTTAATCATTAATATATTATTTATTTACGTTTAAAATACTTAATAATTGCGATTAATAAACCATTTATTTGGATTTAATAACTTTACAAGTAAATTTATTTCCTCTGTAATGACATATATTTGTTTTTATTAGTTTTCATCCATTAACATTTATATATTTGTTTTTAAAATACTTGAACATTATAATTAATACTATATATCTGGATTTAATAACTTTATAAACAAAACTTACAGTCTCCTATAATGATGATTGATAACACAATTTTTAATAATTAAAATATGTACTTATATTTAAAATATTTGATAGTTGCAACTAATAGATTTATTTGAATTTAATAAATAAAATTACACCTACTGTAATGAAATAGGTAATTATTTATTTTTAATAACACAATTTTTTTGTCATTAATATATTATTTATTTACTTTTAAAACACTTAATAGTTACAATTAATAGACTGTTTATTTGGATTTATTTCCTCTGCAACTAGATGTATCTACATTTAAAATATTTGATAGTTGCAACTAATAGATTTATTTAAATTTAATAAGTAAAATTATACTTACTGTAATGAAATAGGAAATTATTTATTTATACACAGTTTTCTGTCATTAATATATTATTTATTTACTTTTAAAATATTTAATAGTTACAATTAATAGACTATTTATTTGGATCTAATATCTTTATAAGTACAATTTATTTCCTCTGCAATGAAATAAATATTTATTTTAATAACAGCTTTTAATCATTAATATATTATTTATTTACTTTTAAAGTACTTGATAGTAGCAATTAATAAACAATTTATTTAAATTTAAGTACTTGATAAATAATCTTTCTGCTCCTATTACGAAATAGATATTTATCTAATTTAACAACGCAATTTTTAATTATCACTATAATATTGATTTGCTTTTAAAATACTTAATATTTGCAATTAATAGACTGTTAGTTTGGATTTATTGATTTTATTTCACATGAATATTTTGCGAAAATATTTTACAGTAACGTTTATAGCTGCGTAAAACAGTAACGTTTGCCATAAAAGTTTGTTTCTACTCGAATACCAAGACGATTCATTTTTACGAGTCTGGGCGGTTTCTAGGGTGTGTCTCAGGAGGAAAACGCCGCGTTGCTCAACCAGGAGATCCAGGACGAGATCGACATCCTGAAGGAGCAGGAGGAGATAATAAAAGACAGGTCAAAGCTGGAGGGGAACATCCAGTTCATAACGGGCGACGACGGCCAGGACGTCTGCCTGGTGACGTACGCCATGGACGACAACAGCGCCATCAACCCGGAGATCGGCATCGACACGTTCCTCATCCACAGCATAAAAAAGAACGAGTAGAATTTAAAGCGTTTCTTTATTATCTAAGTAAAATATAAAATGATCTTTAAAATATAAAAAAGATATACAATATATATAACGTTCAAGCTTAACACAATATCAGTAACAAAGCGGATGTACGACGAGTAAGTAACACAGTTCTTTTTCTCTCCCGAGCGTGCGTAGATCTACATGGTGAAATTTTGAGTGTAGTCGTATTCAATGGTGGGGATAACGGACTGCATGAACTTGAGGAATATTATTAGGTACATGTGGACGCCCAGCTCGCCGCCGCCTTCCATCACCGTCTCGATGATGTTCTTCATCACTTCGGCATGCCTGTAAATATTAATTTTTTACCATAAATCGACCACAAATAGTTTTAAAATATTTGAAAATTATATCGTTACGGATTTCGTTGCGAGATGCTCTAAAACGTAGATTATATTTAAGATCATAGACAAAATTCTCAAAAACAAATGAAAAATTGATTAAGCGGGCTCTATAACAAATAGGCAACCAGCATAACATTTTTATTGATTTTATTGCACAATTTGTCTAAATATGAATTAATGCACAAATAACAGACTTTCCCCCATTTTAACGCAGATTTCCTATAGAATGGACTTAGTTTGAAACTCAAATTACTGTTTGTTGTAAAGAAATTAGTAATTTACGATGCTCAAAAGCAGCAAATTACAAATTTCTTAGCAACAAAAAGTTATTTGAGTTTCAAACTAACTCCATTTTATAGAAAATCTGCGTTAGAATGGAGGAAAGTCTGTTATTTGTGCATTGATTCATAGTTAGACAAAGTGAGTAATAAAATCTATAAAAATGTATTAGACCGGGGCGGGATCTGTTGAAACATCGCATTTCTTGGATGTAGGAGGGGGCAAGTTAATTTTTGCTGGAATACCTTCAGTACAACTCACATAATAAAAGTGTAGATTCCTAGATCTGGGCGAGGTCCGCAACATTTTCAAAATTGCAAAAATGGTTTCAAAAATTTAAAAAAAATTCATAATTTATTTAAGTTTTTTACTTATATCTTGGAAGAATATTGAGCAAGAAAAATGTTTTAAAATTGAATTTTGCACAAAATGTTTAAATTTATTAACGTTGCAAAATAGCAATAATTGATGAAAAAAAGACAAAAGTTTTTTGGATAATTTTTTTAAACGTTTTAATTGCTAAGAGGACACTCTAATTTTGGTAAAAAAAACTTTAGAGTATAATAAAACAACACACCAAATTGCATTAAAATCGGTTTGAGTTTTCGCAAAATAATTTTTTGAAAAAATTTTGAAAAAAATTATTGAATTTTCAAAATTTTGCAGTCTCAAATAAAGCATCTAGATACTTGAAAAATTTTTCACATAGAAAAGACCGATCAATTTTTCAAATGGTTTTTGAAAAATTGAAATCGGTTGATTAAAAAATTATATAGTACTTGGAAAGACGCTTTTTTTTTTTTTAAAAGTTAAATTCGTTTATTGGTTCTCGAGATATAAGCGGTCAAACTTCATCGGCATTTACCGTTAATTTATAAACAATTTAGCAATAATCTTTGATCCAGTGGCTTAGTTTTTCCGAGTTTAAGCTGGAAAAAATTTTCATACCCATAAGTTATCGGCAACATAGATAAATCAGCGGAAAAGCTGTTGCTCGCAAGAGCGAAGAGTGACTCAAAACACGAAAAGTGGGGGAGGGGGCTTTTCGAGTACTTTAAAATTATAATTTTTGAAAAAAACTAAATTGCAAATTGATAAATGTGATCTAATTGTTCAAAAATAAAAAAAAAATTCCAGTGGCCGTCCTAATCAACCGATTTCAATTTTTCAAAAACCATTTGAAAGGCTGACCATTCTTTTCTATGTGAAAAAATTTTCAAGTATCTAGATGCTTTATTTGAGGTTGCTTGAAAATTCGAAAATTTATTTTCAAAACTTTCAAAAAATGTTTTTACGGAAACTATCTAACCGATTTTAATGAAATTTGGTGTGTTTTTTTATTATACTCTAAAGCTTTCTTTTTACCAAAATTGGCAATTAAAACATTTTCCAAAAATTATCCAAGAAACTTGATTTTTTTGCCTTTTTTTCAACAATTATTGCTATTTTGCAACATCGGTAATAAATTTAAACATTTTTAACTTACAGTATATTGTACAAAATTCAATTCTAAAACTTTTTCCCTTAGAGAAAATTGTAATTTGCCGCATTTGAGCAAGCGGAATTGTAAATTATAAATTTCTTTACACCAAAAAGTTACTTGAGTTTCAAACTAAGTCCATATTATTGAAAATCTGTGTTAAAATGGGGGAAAGTCTGTTATTTGTGCATTGATTCATATTTAGACAAACTGTGTAATAGAATCTATAAAAATTTATTGCTGGTTGTCTATTTGCTATAGAGCCCTCTTAAAATTGAAGTTTATACAACTTGTAAGTTTACAAAGATTGCAAATGAAGTTACACAAAAAAATCGTATCCAACGAGATTATATATAATGTGAGCTAATTTTACCACTTTTGAAGGGTTTTTCTTGAAGGACGAGACATCTTCGTTTGTTTAAGATGGCGATTTTTTTATGTTTGGTCATTTCTTTCAGAAATCAAATAACTTTATTTATTTATGAAAATTTTATGCAATTTTAAAAAATTCTAAAATACAGTGTCAAATGGGTTTGTAAAAAAATATATGGGAGCTTAGAAAAGTTAATGGACTCATGTATGATTTGAATTTATTTTCAGTTATCATAGCCTACTATATATATTTTTTTTTTGGACAAGTTCTGTACTCTCAAAATAGTTTCTACCAAATTTTGAGAAAACAAGCTGTAAACACATACACACAAAATTGAACCATACATAATCTTAAGTTCAATTTTAGTAGTGAAAATTTTATTTATTTAATTTATTTATTAATCCACAAATTTTCCCCGTTTAGGGAGAACGAAAATGATAAAACCTTTGACATGAATTTCACAATGAGCAAGCAATATTTTTTTCTCGAAATTCGGTGTGATCATAAATAAAAAATTCTATAATTTTGATAAAATTTGAGACTTAAAAAAATAGTCTCTGGCTAGAAAACAGAAAATTATAGGAAAATATAGTGAAATAGCGAAAAAAATGAATAAAAAATCTAAAAATGAAAAAAATTTCACAAATATATTATTCAACCACAAAAAATTACCTAAAATGAACAATATCCTGTATATCTCTTAAACAAGCTGTGGTTTGCATATACATTTTCCTTAAAAATCAAGCCGTGACATTTTATCTACTACAGGGACCCCCCCACCCCCTAAGTATTGTAATTGACCGGCCACCCTTACTCACAAATCCGTTTACGTTCAATATTTGTAAAGTTGTTAAAGCCAATACGAAAACAACACATTTTTAAATTAAACATGTATGTTTTATCTCTCATTGAATTGTTCTACATATTGTTATAAAAGTTTTTATATATACAGGGTATAGCTAAAGTACCAGAACGGCAGAATAACTCGTCGGGAAAGTATTTTAGAAAAAAATGTTAAATACAAAAGTTTCAGGATTTCTCCCTGGCTATCCGATGGTTAACTTGACATTGAAGATCATTTTAAGGTCAAATGTGATTTTCCAAATGACTCCAGAAATGATAAGGGCGGAAAATTTTAGGCTCAGATATGACCTTGAGTGACCCATCCCTTTTGACCTTGGGGGCCCCCACAAGGTCAAACTAACAGAAGTACAGGAACAGCAGAATAATTCGGCGGGAGAGCATTTTAGAGAAAAATGTTAAAGTTTCAGGATTTCTCCTTGGCTATCCGATGGAGACCTTGAAGATCATTTCAAGGTCAACATCTTTCTCTAAAATGCTCTTCCGCCGAGTTATTCTGCCGTTCCTGTACTTTTGCTAGTTTGACCTTGTGGGGGCCTCAAGGTCAAAAGGAAGGGGTCACTCAAGGTCATATCTGGACGTAAAATTTTTCGCTCTTCATTTCTGGGGTCAAAAGTTAAGGGCCCCATTTGGAAAATCACATTTGACCTTGAAATGACCTTCAAGGTCAATGTCAAGGTCACCATCGGATAGCCAGGGAGAAATCCTTTTGTATTTAACATTCTTCTCTAAAATGCTCTCCCCTCGAGTTTTTCTGCCATTCCGGTACTTCTGCTATACCTTGTATTTCGATTGTTTATTAATGTACATATGTATAGTTAGAATATATTTATTAATAAAGTTTTTTACACTAGTCTGTGTTTCGAATCGTCAACATGACCACAGTAACGTAAAAACAAATTGAATACCAAAAACCTTTTTTCGTTTAATCTGAATACATATTACCTGCAAGGGTGTACCGACGCCATTTTTGGTACGCTGAGATGCGGATGAGTTTCCATCGTAACGGTCTTCATCACATAGTCCTTATTAACATCCTGGTAGAACTCATCTTCAGTTAGTGGCTGATGTTTCTATAAAACGTCCAACAAAATTTGAAGAAAATTAATAAGAAAACTTCGTAGGAAATCGTTACCTCATTATAACCCGTTAACCACAATCTAGGCGTTTGGTAATATTTGTCGTAAGTAATGTGCAAATCGTACGTTCTTGTATGCACTATTTCGCCGTCTTCCCCGTTCTTCGTTGCCTCGACAGACTTAACCACCTTAGCTACCTAAACGTTTGATCGTTACGATTCTAAAGATATGTATTTGGAAATGACGTACCTGTTCATCTTCTAACATTCCGCTCTCTTCAAACTCCTCCATATCCGCGGCCTCTTCCTCGTCGTCTTCCTCCTCGTCCCCATCCTTTTCATCATTCTTAAGAGCAGCCTCTTCCATACTCTCCCCTTTAGCGTTCTCTAACGTCATCTCCGACACTTTATCTTCCACCGAAATATCTTTATCGTAGTGATGAGTATCGATCCAGCCGTTATCGGCATCATCAGATTCAATGATCTTCTCTAATTCCTGTGAGTATTCCATCTGTTCGCACCTCCTCGGACACGGTACATTTCGAGTGATTAAGAACTGCTTGTCTTTTGGCAAGTACGGTTTGGCTTTGGATTCATCGCCTGCTGCCCATTGCCAAGTGGGGCAATGGTGCACCAAGTGGTCGCCCGCTGCTACGAACTCTTCCGGGGTTAAAACGCCGGTTTCTTTGAACTTTGACTCCTTCAAACGGTGTTATATTATTCAGCGGACAAAGAAAAGTGCTTTACTTACCTTCAAAACAGGCGTCAAGTATTCTCCTACCGCTAGAGCGGTTCCTTTAACGCTGTTTATTACGTGCTGCATGTTTCACGTTTCACGACGAATTTATGTCCGGTCTACTGGGTTTTTATATTGCCATAGTGCTGATATGACAAGAGTGCCGCAGTTATCGATTTTTTTATAAATACCTAATAGAAGTGGTTAGTTTTTGACAGATAACAGCTGATAATGATAACACTTCAATGCCATACTCTGGATTAAAGAACAGAGGAATTCTTCTTTAAAGTAGTTATATTGTACGTTCATTTTCATTATTCAAGTAAAATAAATAATAAAACAGAAAGAAAAAATATTGATTTACTTGAAATAAAAATGTTTAATGTTATAAAATTAGAAAACTAGGATTAAAAATACGTACTTCTCTTTAAAAGCGTAAGATGTCGCTACCACAGAAAATCAATTCAAGATTTTCTTACACATAGAATAAAAAGATCAAATAGAATAATTTGTAGGTGAAGTACCGAATATAGTACGTACTGAATGATTGTATTTTGATGTAAATGAATTCGTATTAACCCAAAATTTTTAACTATGTAGGGCATTGGAACTTATGAATGTTAAAAAGAGTATTAAAAATAGGTACACATTACAAAGATATTAAATAACGATTATAACGATAAACATAAATAACGATTATATAGGTATAAAATTATAATTTTTCAAGATTCCATCAGTCGTAAATAAGTATAATATTTTCGTAGGAAACAAGGTCCCATCGAAACTCGTTTTGCTCATTTACAAAAAATAAAGAAGAACTCGAGGAGGTAGCAGGTATGCCCGTCGGTTTAATAACCACACAAACCCTGCAGTCAGGTTATCTGCTAGAAGTTCTATAAATAAACTAGCGCCGTGCTTTTGAAAAAAAAAAAACATCCAGTCTGGGAATGCACAAGCTAAAGGTAAGACTTGATATTCTCAACTAACTATGATCATTGATCAAACATCAAATGGTTATTTCTAGGTTCTAGGTCCGCTAGAACAGATAGAGTGGTTCTGAAAACATAATAAATAAAAACATTGATAATGTGGTACGTTGTTTGTATTATTACAAACCTGTCTTGTACAAGTCCAGTTCATTTAGTTCAAATTCATACTTAGCTGAAGGCATTGCTTTGTCATCATTAAGTTTGACCAGTTAAATAAACTTATAACATAACTGTGAAACTATGCATATATCGTATTGTTGAATTTTCTAACTTGCGGTAGGTACTTATCTAACGTAAAAAAATGTTGCGTGGCCACCCAGTATACCTAAGGTATACCCAGTATTTTTGTGGGTCATATGCCGCATATCGAGGCCAATAATTAATCATGTTGTGTTTAAAAACATGCTATGTAACACAAAAACGGTAGTTTAAACGGGATATCAAACAAGACTATCGAAACTGAGACCTGTTCTCGAATATATGCGATTAGTTAAAAAAATTTGGGCGTCGAAGAGAATCGACTAGATTAAATATTCTAATTTGATGATGCAGGCAAGTCCAATATTTTTGTATTTTTTTTTACTAATTTTGTACAGTTATGTAAATATACTATTTAGAAAAAATAGTTATGAAGTGATAAATATTATAAAATGGCATTTGATGCGTTTAGGAAAATTAACTAATAATAAAACATAAAGGGTGTTTCTTGAAAGGTACTGCGATGAGCAGTGTTAATAAAGTACATGTCCATTTTTAATATAGCATCTTTGTGTTCAAAATTTATTATTTTTCTTTTATAGGTACGTAGATATTTAAGAAAATTTGCCGTCTGTTTCGCATTAAAATGATTTCTTTTAAGTTTGAATATCAATCTTAAAAACGAATTTCCTTTAAATATTTGACATTTTAGCGATATACAGTGTGTCCCCGGATGGGGTACCGCACATACTCTTATAAACTTTTTTATTGTTGTATTTTTCTAGAAATCTGACTTGTAGTTTACTATTTCTATCTCTTTTGATCTTAGTTGTCATATGGTAGTTTAAATCTCCTCATTCACTCATACTACACATAATACAACATACGACATCTCTCACGAAAAAAAGCCTTATGTAATAACATACAGGGCATCCAAAAAAATTGAAAATGTGAAATTTTCCCTAAGTAAAGTGCCTTTAATTTTTATTTTCGTTAAAAACTGTATTTAACAAAGTTGCTCGAGAACTCAAGAAATGCTTAAATACAGGGTTTAGTGGGAAAAAAACAATAATCACATTTTGCCAATAAAAAGACAACGTAGTTTTTAACTAGGTATATCTTACATACCACATAATTACCATGGATATTTCCTTATCAATGTCAAAGTCAACTTATCTATTTTTATTAATTACCCACCTAGACTAGGCGGTATCTGTTTTGGTTTGGGTGAATCGTATATCCACGGAGATTTTTGGCTTTTTGTCTTTCAAATATCACTAGAAATGAAAATTTTTCTATGCGCATAAAAAACGTGGGCTTAACTTTTGGCGACACAATATGTTAAAAAAATTCGAAAAATGTCATATTTTTCTTCCTCTTTAATTATGTATCTTTTCAAGAGTTGATTTTAGGCGAAAATGGAAGAGGAAACAAATGTTTGTAATTAAATTTTTTACAAAATATGAATCGAATGAATTATGATTAATATTGTAAAAATCGAAAAGATCGCCAAAAATGGGGTTAAAAAACATTACTTTTTAGGGATTTTTTTTAGGGCCTTTAAATTGGGTGTAGGATCTTCATACTTGGTTCAAGAAAACTTCATGTTAGTAGAATCATCACACCAAATTTCATCAAAATTGGTTCAATAGATTTTGCATAATAATTTTGCAATCTATATTTTGAAAAAATATTTGCAAATTTTCAAAATTTTGCACAGCAGAAACCAAGGCCCTTAGATCCTTGAAAATTTAATCACATGTAGAAGGGCTCTCAAATGCTCTTTAAAAAATTCGAATCAGTCAATTAGGAGAGCTCTGGCGCTTGTTTAAACATTGGTCGAATTTTGTATTTATAAACAATTAGAACAACTTAGTGAATATTCAATCAAATCAAATTTTCTAAAGCAAGTTTTAAAAGTTATTGGAAAGGCGATTCTTAAAAAAAAACATATCGATTGGTCAATTAGTTACGTAGTTATAGCAGATCAAAGTTAACCGTCATTTACGCTAAATGTAGCTACTGGGACATCCGGACTAATTTTTCGAAAAATACCTTTGGTATTCCGAGTACTTACCAGGTCTAAGTTTGCAATACTTTTCTTCATTGGCAACCTACTTTAAAACGTGTTTAAAGTTATTTATGCAAGCGAGAAATTCAAGAAAATCGTACGGGAGGTGGTGGTGGGGGAAGCAGAGAGCGCGGCCGCTTCGGCCTGCTCGAAATGGAATCGGCGAGTTCAAAACCGCGACGCGCTTAAAATTTTTTAATATATCAGCTTCTAGAGGTCCGATTTTTTTAAATCGATGTCTCGCGATTTAAAAAAAATAGTTTGCGTATTTTCAAATGCCTATCGTTAATAATTATTGGTCTTTCAACAGTCCGATAATGATTTATCTTTAAACTTCCTTTAATTATCAATTTTATTTTTTTATTATACCAAAGGTAAATGCATAAACTTATATACTGTTTATAAAAGATCAAAAACAAATTTATTTAAATATTCTAAAATTGTTTACACAACAATTATTTTCAAAATATGTCGAAAATTAGTAATATAATGAGTTAATTTATCATTTGCTCATATTTTAAACAATAAATAATATTTGAATTATACTTTAATCACAAAAAATATTAATATTAAAAAAAGAATCTTCAATTTCTTGAATTTTTGAGAATTTTAGGATACTTGCAACAAAATATATCCACTCAAACCAGTGTTTAATCATAAAGATGGAGATGATGGTCGTCGTTTGGACTTTTGTTTAACAATGGTCGAGAAAATGATTGAAAACAGATTCTTTCATCACAATATTTTATTTAGTGACGAATCAACATTCACAACTAATGGCGTGGTGTCCTCTGAAAATTGTACCTAGATACTGGCTTAAAAATAATCCAAATTTTCGATTGATAATAGTCAAAAATTTAAAAAAGTAAATATCTGGTGTGGCATAATGTATGATAAAATAATTGGTTCTTACTTTTTTTGGTTCAATGTCATATAAGGTTTATTTATTTGTCGCCTATTAAAACCCACTAAACATTTTTCAGTTTCTGACATGTTTCAGAAACATTTTTCTTGAAACGTTTCATAAAAAATCCATGCAACGTTCTGGTAACGTTCTAGAAGCCCAAGATATCCTCCCCAAAATACGTTTCCAATGAAACGTTTCAAAAAATTGGTTTCAGTAACATTCTTTTTATGTTCCATTTATGCCCCCAATATTTTTGTTTTACGTTTCAGTATATTTTCAGAAATGTTTGAGTAACATAATAATTTTATTACCATATTGTTTTCATAATGCTCTCAACTTTAGATCATTTTCATTACAAAAGCGTTTTTGAAATAGTATAAATAGTGTGAGTATTTTTTTAAATATTTCTAATACTCCTTTGTGATATTTTTATTTGTATTGTGAATGACTTAATTCGAACTAAAAAAAGTTACATTGTATATTAAAAAAAATAAATATGCTCTTCTAGTTTGGGGATGCGGCAACTTTTACCAAGAATTTCTTTCTTTTTGAGAAGCCACTGAAAAAAGTTTCTAATATGGATTACGAATTTTGCCATTCATCGTACAAATAAAAATTATCACAAAAACAATATCAGAAGCATTAAAAAAAGCTACACATCATTTTATATTATTCAAATATGATTATGAATCTTGAAATGGTAGGTACATGAAAAACAAATAACATTACTGAAAAATAACATAAAGTTATAATTTCTTCTACGCATGGTCAATATTACATATGTCCTTTTAATAATAATAAATTATACAGCAGAAATAAGGATACAAAATGATATTTTGACAAAGTAAATATCTGTAGGTATACCTAAACTTTTTTATTTAAGCATGCCTATACACATAAACAAATATAAACATTTGTACAAAATATAAAATAAATGACGTCTATTTCACTTGATTCATCCATATTTCAAATAGTTCTCACTAAGTAGTTGCTCTTCAAATTATATCGAAACGTATGTTGTTCCATTTTCTTAGTTCTTGTCCCTTGTCCTCTTGTCTGTAATAGTAGTGGGTATAACTATATTTAGGTAGATGTGACGCAAAATTGGAAATCTCTACACATATCGTTTTAAACATTTTGCATCAATATTCATTATTTTATATGCACCTTACAATAACCACAACTGCACACACTACAAATTATCACATAAAATAGCGTCAAAGTAAAGATGAATAACAACGAAACCAAGCAAACTGACAAACCGCAAACCTAACCTAACATAATACGAATTGAAACGACACACGGGAAACAAATAAACTCGGGCTGTTACGCGCAGTCTACGCAAGTCACGAATATACGTTTTTTCTAGACTTGTGTTATAAATATGCTACCACATTTTTTTTTCCACATTTCGAGTAATGTTTCAAACTCTCTTCAATTGTAATGTTTCGGCTATGTTTCACTAAATAAGTTTTCAAGTGCTACATTTCTGTAATGAAACAGAAACGTTTCTAGTTGTGTCAAATGTTTAGTAAAACATCTCATTTGCAACGTTTCATTTACGTTTCGTGTTTAGTGGGAATTATGCCAGTGAAACTTCTAACACACTGTATTTTACAGAAACAGAGACGTCCGTTAGAAATGTCTATTGATCTATTAAATCAATTCTTGGAAAAGTTTTTTAATCATTTTGGCTAAAGATAAGCTAATATTTACATATCCCCACGTAAAACTTTGCACTTTTGCATATTCATGTGGGACACGGTTTAGCATTCGTCGCGTTTAACCGGACTACCCACCAAAGTCAAACACACAATAACGGTCCGATAGCCTTGACCTCAGTTGCAGTTCTCGGCCCGAAGAACAAGCCACTGCTTTATCTCTTCGGATGCTGAAGAAGCTGCCTGCGGACCGGTTGTATGACGTACCGCTCCGCCTAGATGCTGAGAGAGAGTACCCACAAACACCGGTTACCTATAAAATCCGGTCAAAGAGTTCATCAGCTTCAGTTCAACCGGCGACGTCATGTCACTGAAAACCGCGACCATAGTGTGCTTATTCGCACTGGCCCAATCGGCCACCATCCAGCAGAGAAACATCCCCGTCGAAGTCAAATACGATGAAACTGCTAAAGTTACAAGTCTGGACGAAAAAATACAGACCGAACTCGCGGATTCCGCCAGTGAGGTCGCTTCTGTGGAACAGAAAAACGACGGGGTGAGGAACCTAGACGAAAAAATACAGCTCTCTCCAGAGGACCTAACTCAGGCGTCGAAGCACCTTCCGGTGGTGGAGGAGATCTCTCTGAAGAACCTAGAAGAAGTTGCCCGTTCTGAGGAAGTTACTCCCGCACCTACCAGCCTTCAGAGCGTCCTGCAGCAAGCAGAAGAAGTCATCTACAGCGGTTTGAAGAAGTTGCGAAACTCATTCAAGGCGGAGAAAGATCAACAGGCTCCTAACTCGGAACAATGGGACGATTTTGAGAAGTCAGTCAACAAGTACCTAGACGATGAGAAGACCAAGCTGCAGTTGAAGCAAGAACAGCCTCCTCAGAATCAGAACATCTTTCAGAACATAGCGCAAGGGTTCCAGACGGTGGCCAACAATTTTGTGCAGAATCTGGTCGGAAACCAGAATGCCACGAATTTGGGTGACGAACAGCAAGGGGGACAAGCGCAGGGACCCTTCCAGGGATTCGTCAGCTTCTTTCAGAATGGTAAGTGGCCTGATATTTCGACATAACTGCGTAACGTCATCTGAGGTGCAAAACGTTCCGTCTTAATCCACGTCATTTTAAAAATACATACTTATATACAACATTTTTTTACTTTTGCGACCTAAAACCAATGAATTACATGCATATACCCTATTAAGACTAACATAGAATTTGCATTTTTAATTTTAGGTTATAACGTCCATCAGAACAGTTTAGATATGGTTTTAGCAACAGATGTGGCGCGAAATTTAAAACAACAGAAAACAAATTTTTAGAAGTTTCACAGTTTTGCATTTCAGCCGACGGTAGGTGGAAGGTAGAAGCAGAACGTTTTATTTTCGTTAAAGGTTAGATAGAAACCATACGGTAAAATAAATTACTTTTGCGCATTTTGCAAGAACTGGCAAAAGAAACAGTGTGGACAACTTACTTTCAAATGCGATACCACATTTTCATTGTACTGAGTTTATTTGTTGCGAAAATATTTTAAAAAACTGTTAATGGAAACGCAAATTCTTAGATTTCTTTCCCAAAACTTTTTCTTGGAATAGGTATCTAACCTACATAAAATATTACTATTCTGTAAAAGTATTGAGTTGTTATTGTTTTTTTACTCATAAAAGCAAATTGTGGTTTTAATATTCGGAGTTTGTGATATTTCCAAATAATTAAAGCTAAATGCGTTCTCAAATTTTGATGATAATAATTATAATAGAAACGTACATACACTATAATAATGTTTTCTCTTAGAATAACACATTATAATTTACAATTTTGTTTTTAAGAAGAACGTTTGGATTTTCTACAAACAACATTGTAAATTTTTAAGTGCAGTGTATCATAACTTCCTAAACTAAGAATAAAAAATAGATTTTGGTCTAGTGTAACCGCAGAACTATAGCAAATCACGCACTGAGACATTTTTGAAGCATGTCCAATAGCATTATCCCTTATTACTTGTATTACGTTTCGGTTGCGTCACGATATTTCCAGGTACAATTGTGCAAATGTTTTCTATAGGATACTATGAAATCAAATTTCAGGAATTCTCTAGCGGGGTCAAGTTTTACAAATTCATTACCTTGTGTTCACTGAGCCACTATTGCGTAAGTTATAAAATTCAAAATATATTTACGTTTACAAAATAGCAGTATATTTCATATTTTATAAATGTATCAGGCATTTACCCGTGTTTCTTTTTAATTCAAGAGTGAAGGTCCCCGCTATTTTCGTTGTTATTTTACATCATTTATTGACCAACAAATAAAAGTTGGCCTTCAGTTTATTTGGCATATGTAAAAGAGAAATTATGTGTGCTGACGCTTATTTTTATTTCTTTAATTGTTGACAAAATGTTTAAAAAAGTGTGGAATTTCCGTAATAAAGAAACACACCCACATTATTAATTTTGAAATTTGAACAGTTGGCTTTGCAAAACAATAAACTGTCGTCACCCGTGAGGAGCACCTACATTATAGTCCAGGAAAGTTAACATAAAAAGACGGAATAAGAGAACTTTTTTACCCTGAGATTTTTGTATAATGGTATAATAAAAAAATACACAGGGTGATTCACAAACGGTGACCAAAAATGAAACCTCGTATATTTTGGTGAATTTTAAGGGGTCTTCGTTAAAAAGACACAGGGTATTAATTTCAAAAAATATTTTTAATTTTTTAAAATAATTTAAAAACTAGTAAGTGAAATAATTACATGTATTTTTGTAAACATTGTTCAAAATCTGAGGGCTTTTCCTAAAATTTACATGATCCAGTGGCGGAGATACAGGGCATCGGCATTTACGGTAACAACCATGATATTTTCGAATTCGTCTCTCAATTTTCTACAAATAACCACTCTTATGTTTTTCGAAAAAATCCTGATTTTCGAGTAAAACTTAAAAAATCAACTGAAAACTCGCTTGAAAGTAATATATTTGACTTGACAGTCTGTAACTCCGTTGTTTTTCAACGAATCTTGACGATTTTTTTTAAAGCTCTTTTCATAAGCTTTCGAATATGTAATAATATATAACTATATTACGCTCGTGCGTTGTATATTTCATTTTGCAACTAAGGCTAAAAAATTTAAAAATTTTCAAGGTTGCAAATTTGAAATTAAAAAAAAATGAAAAGCGAAAAACGTGAATTTACGTAAAAATTATACAATTAACCAGCCTGTAAACAATCTTCCCCCCATTTTTATGACTGTGGAAACTAATATGTTATTGTACATAATATTTAGCATCTATAGTGATAAATTCAGCTTGCCGAAACAAAAAGTCGCATCCAACTCCATATTTCCTGGCCTACCATTTCTTTAGAAAGAATGTGTAATATGTTCTTTTTTTAATTTTTGAGGGTCTCTTAATGATATAAAATACTTTATTAAGTTTTATTACTTTTGAATATATTTATAGCTTTTTTTTCTTCGAATTGTTTACTGTCATTTTTCTTTTTTATATTACATATTGTGTTCTCACCCATTCAGTAATTGGATATATTCTGTTAATGGTGTATCAAATAAATACTTAAATACATAAATAAATAAATATTAGACCGCAGAAAAGATCACAATGCAAAAAATATATTAAAAAGTATGCCATTGTAAGGACTATCACATAAAAGAATTTCGGAAATCGGCCAACGCCATCCTAAATATGGAGGTGTTCCCACTTTACGTAAAACACACTGTATATATGTCTATATCTTAAAACTGTGTGTTGTTCGTGGTTACGTGTGAGACATATGTTTTCTGCCCTCAAAACCTACACTTTTCTATAAAAAAATCTCGTAGTAAAAAAAATTGCTCAATTTTTTCCTTTTTTCCTGGACTATTATGTCAGTAAAACAATCTGCTGTCAACACATAAAAAATTATATTCGATTTATCGATTCTCGATAAGTTTCAAAGTGTGAGATACAATTGTTTGCGTCATACAAACTTTAGTTGTTTAATGGCTCGGATTGAAATATTTCCGATGTCGAGACGGTGAAAGAGAATCAGCCTACTACCTTCTCAAATTCGATTTCAGGTGTTGGTAATGTAGTGAATACGATTAACGGCTTAGGCAATCAGGGAGCCACAACAACGAACGTCAACTTGAGCGATACAGGCACCGCAACTACCCAGGCTCCAAATTTAGTGTCCAACCTAGTCAGCAATGTCCAACAATTTTTCGGTCAAATTCAGGGCGCTGTGCAGGGTAGTGGTGGCTCTAGTGGAACACAAGGTATGTAAATAAAGGTATGATCATAGTGGGGGTTAGCTAAGTTAACATTCTCTGTTTTGCTGATAAGTCCTAACATCATAACATAAGTCAAAAAGGCTGGTGTCTAACTTCTAAACAACGGAATTTAAAATATCTTACTAATGTAATTACACATTTACACACAAAAAAGTTCAAACCAGAGACGCACGATATCATTTTCGAAGGATATGGTAAGTGGTAAATCATGGTTTCAGGAATACCAAAAATACGCGTCTAGTAATAATGTAGTTATTTTTTATGTTAGATTGGGAAATTCTAAAATAGTTATTTACGTAACAAGTCCGGAAAATACTGTTTTTTTGGACGAGTTGACAAAATTCTAGGACGAGCCGTAGGCGAGTCCTGGAAGTCTGCGAGTTCAAAAAAACTGTTTTCGGACGTGTTGCGTACACTATTTTTTCGGCAACCATGTAGAATAACAAATTAATGAGACACATTTCTTTATTATATTTTTTTGTAGAACAAAATTTCGAACATTTTAATTCTTATTTGTATTAAATATTGAAATTCGAACAGAAGATAGGTACTAACAGAAACATTCTAATTCTTATTTATATTAAGATTTATAGTAAAATTTGAGCAATTGCTAATATTGAAAGGGTTTAATTTGTTTGAAATGCTTGGTATATTTAAATGCCTTTTGTAGTCAGAACAAGAAGGTAAAGTTTCCGTTTCATATTGATTGTTTTCATCTGATAATTTTTGAATGGTCTTGGCAATTTTAATTTTGTTTGTTAGTGAATTGTCTATATATCCTTCAGCGACATTGGTAGACTTCCAGCCACCGTGTCTCTTCAAATTTGTGATGTTTCCACCATTATCAGCAAATATCGTCGCTGAAGTTCGACGCATGCTATGGCCTGTGTAATTTTTAGGATTGGGTAAATTTAAAAATTCTGCAATTCTTAATCCGAGATTCCCAAAACTGTGGATACCAACGGGCTGAATCGAACATTTTCCTTTTTTGTAATTCACGAATAATCTGTTATGTGGAGTATGGGATGGCCGTAAAGATAAATATTGCCTATACAACAGCAGGTTTTCTTGCCCAATTACAACAAAATTTCTCTCAATATGTGTTTTAGAATCTGGTATTTTCACGAGCAACATATCTTCTTTGTCGTTTATTAGATCAATTGACATTTTTGTTAGTTCTTCCCGTCTACACGCACCGGCTAACCCAATAATTGTTGCTACCTGAAAATGAAGCAAATTAAGTTGATACTTTTATATCCTACAATCGTAATATTTTGTTAAAATTACCTTTAGCATTAGATATGTTTCATTATCTGCTTCTCTAATGAATTTGTTGATTTGCTCGCTGCTGAAGACTTCTGATTTCTTTGCTTTATAACCAACATTCTTCCTTTTAAGAAATGCGATTACCTTTGGGAAAGTGGCTATGTTTACATTTTTCTTCACTAAAATGGTACTTTTCAACATAGAGTACATGCTCCACAGGGTAGAGGATTTGACAGTTTCAGATTTTTGCGCCAAGTAAGCTAAAATTACATCCTCTGTAATAGTTTTGCATTTCTTCATATCCATCCATCTCGTGAACAAATCATAAACGTTTTCGTACCTGGACTTTGATTTTTCAGGCAATAATTGTGCTGTAGCAGCAGCTGCTGCATTGGAAATTTCGTAAGGCACATTTTCAAACTCACTATCGCTGTTGCTTTCCATAGTTTATTGCGACAATTGCGACCAAAAACCATGCAAACTTTCGAAAATTAAAATGTCAACTAATTTCACTTCAGATAGCTGTCAGTCGTTATTTCGTTGCTATGGTAATGTTCAACTGCATTTATCAAAATCATACCTTCCAAGATTTTCATATTCACAATGACAACAACGATGTGATTCTTCCCGGCCTAGTCCGGGAAGTGCGTACTTCCCAGACTAGGCCGAAAAAATGCTACTTTCTCAAAGAAAAAGCGTCCGGGAAGTAGCCACTTCCCGGACGGTTGCCGAAAAAAACTGTTGTTTTGACACTTGATAAATATCATGCAAAAGTCAACTTTCAATGATGTTTTCGAAACATGTAAGTTTTGAAACTTGCAGCATGCAGCAAGAACTGGGTGGGGTGTCTCCCCTGTCCCTCCTGTCTACGCCCATGTGTACCTGCGTTATAGTTGAACACTTAACAAAATATAGTTAAGAATCAGAATAGGTGAAGGAAATATCGGTCTTGATTTCCAGGGGAAGTCAATGTTTCGATTTTATTTGAAATCTTCTTTAGGGCTATAAACGATAATAAAAAGAAATTATATTTTTATTATTATTTATAGCTCTGAAGACTTTAAATAAAATTGAGGCGTTGGCTAAGTCAGAAAATCAAGATCCTTATTTTCTTTCCCTGTTCCGACTTTTAAATTATTTGAAAGGCACGTAAATTATTTAAAAATATATTTATATAAAAAAATGAGATGAAAAACCGTTATCCGTAGTGTGATTTTGGTTAAAAAAAATCGACGCCACAACTTTTTTCTGAGCTCATCTATGGTCCGTAGATATTACCACAGTAAATGTAAACCAGCAGTTTTACTTCCTTGTCGGACTTTGCTCTGAAAAACGGGCCGTAATAAGAATTTTTTACTTGTGCGGGAAAGCACATTAAAATAAACAATACTCGTGATAAAGACTACTATTTACCCCATTATACCCAAACTTTCCTAATTTTGCATATTATCTCAGCATACGGTTTATTAAATTAAAAAAATACATGCAGTGTGTATCAGCCAAATGGAAATATTAAGTGTTTTCAGATTTATTGCGGCTTTCCCAATGAACATCTACATTGCCATTAGTTTTTTTTTTGCCTTTTTACATTATCAATAAATAAACAGTATTACTTATTAGTTTTTGAATGTGTTGTAACGAATTTCTGTAATCAAAAATTTTCTTTTTTTTAATGTTAATTTTTGCAGTAAATCTGAAAACACGTAATATTAACGAAACGGTTGAAGATAGGTATAGGACATTGTACATGAAATACATCTGGAATTTTCGGAAGAATTTAAAAATTGAATAATATACAGGGTGTTCAAAAAATTTGGAACCCTCCCTCTATCTCAGAAAATACTGCTCAAACAAAAACATTATTAGGACAAAAGTTGCAGGATTTTGAACGAGCAATCCAACGGTGACCTTAACCATGATATTAACCATGACCTTGAAGCCGATTTAGAGGTCAAGTTGAAAATTTTAAATGGAACGGTATACTTTTGATCCCGGAAAAGGTAATAGCGGAAAATTTTACGTTTGAATGTGACCTTGACCATGACCTTCAAGGTCATTTAGAGGTCAACCTGAAAATTTTAAATGGAGTCGTATATTTTTGACCCCGGAAATGAAAAAATGGAAATTTTTACGTTTGGATATGATCTTGATCGTGACCTTCAAGGTCGTTTACAGGTCAAGTTGATTTTTAATAAATGACCGGATATTCTTCGCTCTTTTCATTTCCGGGATCAAACGTATACGGTTCCATTTAAACTTTTCAACTTGACCTCTAAATGACATTGAAGGTCATTGTCAAGGTCACATTCAAACGTAAAATTTTCCACTCTTTCCATTTCCGAGGTCAAAAGTATACGATACCATTTAAAATTTTCAACTTGACCTCTAAATGACCTTCAAGATCATGGTTAAGGTCACCGTTGAATTGCTCACTCAAAACCCTGCAACCTTTGTTCTAATCATTTTCTGTTTGAGCAGTATTTTCTGAGATAGAGGGGGTGTTCCAATCTTTTTGAAACTTGGTATTGACCACTGTTACATGACACACCCTGTATAAAAAGTTTTTGTTGAAAAAAAATACGCAACTGAAAATACCAATCGCCGTGTTTATTCCATTTGGCTGATACACACTGTATAATTGTGGGTACATATTTTTTTTGCAGACTAAAAGCAATATTGTAATCTATATAATTCCAAGATGAACTCTCTTGTGTAGAAAATACGATCAAAAATACTTATTTGTGGAAACTAATGTCTGAATTGTTAGATTTTTTTTAAAATGCATTGCAAATATCAATAGAATATTTTTATTATCAAGTATACCTACATTTTACTTATTATTTTATGTTTTTTATTAAAATTAAATATTTGTTCATGTAAAAGAGTCGTCCCATTCCATCGTTTTCAGTCATTCTGAATTTTATCGAATCGATTTTTAAACTGTAAAATTTTCAAATAATATCTCTCCGTTTACCGCGCACAGCTGGTGAATTGTGAAGGGTCTATGCGGACTAAAAATGTGCGCGGTCTGTTTCTGCTATGCTTGTCTGACGATTTCCGCTCATCTGAATTTGCTGGTTTATATATGCTGTGGTAACAGTAGTCTAAGAAACGAATTGTAATATCCATGATATTTGCCGTAGGTGACACAGGAGTCAATAGTACCTCATCTAGTTCACCACAACGTCCTGGACAAATCATTCAATCGATTGGTAAGATGTAAATGTTGCTTCTAGATTATGAATCCATTCATTGAATCGTAAATCCAAGCTATATTGTTGACATTAACTTGAAATTAAGGAATATAGTCCAAAACACTTAAATTTATAGTTTTTAATCACTTGGCCGACCCCCTTTACAACGAGAAAGAAAAAATATGACAATATTTAAAAGATAATGTATTTTTGACAGGTACTGCCATTAACCAGTTCATTCAAGGAAGGCCACCAAACTCCTCCGGAGATGAGGGAACAGGAACAACGGAAGGAAACGTGGGCATAATTCAAAGTATTGGAAACGTCATCCAGAACAGTCCTTTGAATCCATTCCGACCACCCCAAAAGCCAGCTGAGGGAGGTGCTACCACTTCCAACCCTATCCAAGCTGGTAAGTTATTAAGTCATAGACAACTGTTGTTGATGATGAATTTCGGTTAAAGAATTTGGATTTTCTTCTACCCATATGGCAATTGGTGTTTTCTGAAAATAAGGACTGTGCCAAATACTTAGGATTTTGCCCAGTCCATTTCAGAATACAATAAGAAAGAGCTGAGACTCGTATGTAACATATATACAATTTTTCTATTAAGATGGCCAATACTGTCTTGTGGTTGATATTTGTGTCCGATTCTTCATCAATTAAATTCAGTACTGCTTCTTCCAAAGTCGGTTTCTAATTTTGCTGTGGTGACGACAGCAGTCACAAGTTCTTTTATTAAAAATTCCTATTTTACGTAGTCGTAAGTTTGAAATGCTTCTAGAGTTGCCATTGGCAATACCATAAATTTTTTTCTCCAGCTGTTTGAAGGACCTAAGGAAGGAGGAGAGGGAGTGGGGGTGAATATTTTTTACATAAAAATCCGTCGTAATTTTCAATAAGTAATCAATTTTCACATTTTGCATTTCGTAGACTAAAAGATCCTAGGATTGTAGAGAAACACCGAAGTTAAGATAGGATGGAAAAATAAGCCCATCGTTTGTACCAGGGGCTTGAGCAATTTCTGGGATAGAAGGCTTCAATTTATTCATTCATTCATTCATTCATTCAAAACTAAATGGACTGGATTCTTTCGATTTTGTTGGTCAAACTGCAGCGTTTTTGACATGGTGTTGTTCCATTTTACTCATTAGATCTTTAATTTTTTTACACCAGGTCTTAAACTAGGTTCTCTACCTTGGCAACTCTGTTGTGTCCAAGATGATGATCAGTTTCCTTTGTTGGAGCAAGCGTGGCGATTTCGTTTATTGGTTGGTTGTATTTTCTTTGTCGGTGGGATTTTTTTCCTTATCCCACAATTCTTTGGACTTTTATCCTTGTCAGACTCGATTCCAAACGCTTGGCAGCTCGCAATATATGTGCTGTCTTAGCCCATTTTTCTAAACGACTGTTTGGGAACGATGTCGACACACGTTTTCAGAGATACCACCGGGGATTGATTTATTCTCTGGATAAACCGCATAAAATGATTCGTTAGTGGTCCTAAATTCATACCTAACTGTTTTCTAGGTATATCCAGCGCGCAGAACATCGGAAACCAAATCGGAAGCCAAGTTCAGCAACTGATCCCAGGACAGGCCAGCAGCACCGAAGCCGCCAAAACTCAGGAAGCCGAAAAAGTGCAAACCGAACAAGTGGAACAATCCACCCAAACCGCGGAAGTAGCCAGTAACGAGGTAGCGCCTCAGAAAGCTAAAGGATTTAACTTGGAAGCAGTTGAAAACGAACTAGAGAAGAAGGAAGAATTGACACCGGAGGAAGTGAAAGGGGAAGAAGTGAAGCAGCAGATGGAAGAGCAGGTGAAGCAGGAGGAAATCAAGGAGGAGATAAGACAGGAAGAGATGAAGGAGAAGGTTGAAGAGAAGAACGAAATGGCGGAGAAGAAGGAAGAAATAATGGTGACTGCTGAATAAATGCCATATCTAGATTGAATGATAACGGGGTAAATTAAGTTTAGGTCTTATTTATTTTAAATTATTTGTTGGTACTGAATAGAAACATTAGTAGTAAAATGTGATTTATTTTGAATGACGTTTATTTGTACAGGGTATTTTGGAAAAAGGTGTAATAAATTCAGGGGCCGATAGAACATAGAAAATAATATTTTTTTCCTTGGATCGTAGCCTTTTATTTTTGAGATATTGAACTTAAATGGCCATTTTTTCCAAAAACAACATAATGCATTGAAATTTAGTACAGGTAAGTTTTTAAGGGTGCTAAATACACGAAAATTGTTAATTTTTGATCAACTGCTAGAGGTGGCTAGAAACGATTTTTTTAATGATATTTTGGCAATTTTTGTGATGTTAGGTTTCTTACAGTCTCTATATAAATGCTTTGCAATTGTCAGAGAACCGTTCTTGAAGTGTTCTATTGTTTTACTCTTTAAATACTTCAAACTAAAACAAAAAGCCGAACCCAAATATAAATTTCACTTTATTAAATAATTAGCAGTATTAAGACATTCTAACCTCACTTCTTGTGGAACCACTTTGTGATAAAACTGTTACAGAATGTGCTAATAAGTTTACGTTAGGTCACGCTAAGGGAATGTTTCTATACAAATTATAACTCGAAAAATTTATGCCATCAAATGAAAAAACAACACTTTCTTAGACTTAGTCAAGGTCTTTGAAACTAGGAACCTCAACGCGTTTATTTAAAAATCGCCTTGATGATAAATGTAAAGACTCGAAGTAACAGAGGAGCATGGTGTGCCACAGGACACAGTCTTGGAACCATTTTTGTTCAGTATATACATTAACGATCTTTTCAACTAGAAAACTGCTGGACGCAGTAGTTTTCTATGCTCAGGAAACTTGGTCCCGTGTGAAATGGGTAATTGCAGAGTACCTTTACGTAAATAAAAATATGGTTTCATTATTTTCTCCCAAGAATAAATTTTGAAAAAGCTTTGTAATTACGTGTTGTAACAACGAAAGCTTTTGACGCGCTACAGATCAAATATGATGGTTTAAACTTTCAAATAAGCAATGAAATACAGATAAATGTCTTGGAATGATAATAGACAAAAAATTTGAAATGGAAACATCGAATAAATAACGTCAAAATATTAAAAAACAGTTATTGACAAGCAAAAATATATGAGTGAAATACTAGACGATGATTAGAAATAATAAAAAAGTCTGAAAAATGTTACTCAAAAATAAGATTCTTTTTTCCATTCATTTCCAAATATTCCATTAATTTACATTTTCAAAAAATAAAAAAATTGGATTTAAAGAAATGATATTAGTAACCAGTTAAATATTATATTGTTTAACTAATTGTTATCTGTTATTTATAATTTATATCTAGTTATCCAGAATGATTGAAGTGTTTGGAGATCGCAGCCTGTGCCTGTCTCTGTCAATACTCAGATTTTTATATGCTAAAAATGGTGTTAGAAACAGAAAGAAAGGTGAAAGAATACCAGCAAAAACTTAAATTTATTTATTAATTTATTTCAATGTTAAAAATATACAAGGTGGCCTAGAACTAATGTTTATAGGACAAAATGTTTTTACGAAGAAATATCAGTATGACATATTGAATAAGCGTGCAACATTATTTTAAGTATCTGAATTTTTTTGCGCTAGTGACATGCCATTTCTGTATGAAATACTGAGTTTGTGTACAAAATTTCAAAGTCCTAAACCCGCTTTGTCATTTCGCTTAATTTCCGATTGTTCTCAAAGCAGTGTTAAAATTTTTCACATATGTCCAATTTTTCATTCTGAGAAACTTTTCTTAATTTATTTTGTGATATATCTCATAGAGAATTAGCACTTTACTGATGAATGAAGTCTTTAACATGCATTTTGGTCTGCAAAATTGCCGACAATCGATAATTAAAAATGTATGAGATTGTGAATATATTTAACTCAATCTCTTGGCCGACCGTCCGATTCTGTAGATGCTATTTGGATACCACCGATTGATTTCCTGTACATATATTTGGCAGCGACACTACTAACCATAATATCACTTCTAATTTTAGATTAATACAACTTGTGCTAGCGAATTTATTTTGAATTAACTTGCAAATAATTCTTCATCTATGAACTCTGTTTACAAAGTTTATGTGGCGTGTTTCATGTTAAGTCAAGAAATAAAAGCCATATTCGTCAAACATTTATTTTCACGCAATATAACAAAAACAGATCGATGTATTATTAGTTAAGGGGCCTCCATTGTCGCCTGAAACAATGAACATTGCTAAGTATTCTCATCCAACCAAAACACACTTTTATGTAAACAGGTGCGAAGTAAAATTAATGCCCTTACCGCATAGTAATCCTGCTCAGCAAGGACTTTTTCTGCCCTGGAAGTAATTCCCCTTACTGGAGGTTCCATGTCGTGTACCAGCCTGTAGACCTCAGATCTCTGCAGGTAGTCTAAATTCTTCGGTGGCGGTTGGTACTTCAAAAAGTTGATGCTAAAATCATGCAATTTAATGATTTGATTCCAAATAGAACATGTGAATTAAAATTCCAAGGTAAAAAAGCAAAACGATTCAATCCCCCACCTTAAAATTGTTGGTTGGGACCTCAGTTCTACTCGTAAAATTTAGAAACTTTGGAAGTGGAAGAAATTTTGAGTGTCAAAAGGAGAATATTTTATGTTAACGCCATTGCAAAAGTCCATAAGTTTACTAAACATCGTATATTTTTCATTAGATTAATAATAATAGAAATTGTCCTGTAAAATGTCTCCCAAGGGTATTACGACAATTTTAGCTGATTCTAGGGCAGACCTCCAGAGACTTGGGATACAATACAAGGGGTTTGTTCTAGCGAGCTACTAGAAATGATGGACACTGTTAGTACACATGGCAAATTGTTAGTGCGCATGCTCCGAACAGTTTTCAACATTTGTAGTAACTTACTGGAACAGACTTCCTATTGAGAATAAAGTTCAAGGTTCGATAGAAAGTGATTTAAGATTTTGATTCACATAAAAAATAATTCTTAGCACCATAGTTGGAGCTTAAAACAAGATATGGTTTTAAGAATTTACCTTGGTTCCACCTTAGGAATTAACTTGATTCACTGTAATGGGAATTTCAATTGGCAATTTACGAACAAAAAATAATTATGGAAATTCAGTTTCAGTTGTAAAATTTGTTCAATTGGAATTCCAAAAGTAAATAGTCATATTATAAAGACCAAAATGGAAAGATAGTTGCAGGACAGGATGAGATATTGAAGAAGAGGAAATGGAAGAACGCATTAGCAATATAGAATAACTTAATATGGTGCCAGCGCCAAGTAAAGAAGAGGTTAAAGAAATAATTGAAAAATAATATGAGCTTAGGTAGTGACAAATCGACAGTGAAACTATTTAAATATGGAGGACAGGAACTAACCAACCAATTGCAGAAACTATTAAGAAGGGTTTGGGAAAAGGAAGAACTGCCAAAGGAAGGTACAGAAGCAGTAATTTGCCCCATATATACAAAAAGGAGATAGAGGCGAACCTCAAAACTACAAGGGAATAACAATGCAGAATATGGCATGTAAAAATATATATGAATAGTGAACAGATCAAGTTAAAAAGGTACTATAAGCTAACGAAAAAAAAAAAAAAAAACAAAATAGTTGGAATGGATGGAAGAAAAATATCAAAAAGAAGTAGACGCAAATCGAAGGAAAGCATACAGGTTTGAGCAAGTGGGACAATTCACATATTTGCGAAAAAAGGGGAAGAAATCGCATCCAGAATAATGTCTGTAAATAAATATGAAACGGATGTACAAATAATATTGAGAAACAAAAACATTTCTAGACAAACAAAAATAAGACTATACGAGACAGTGACAAGACCAATCGTTATGTGTGCCAGTGAACCATGGACGTTAAATATATCAGAATAAGCAAGACTGGAGATGTGGAAAAGGAATATATTGAGAAAAATTTTTGGGGGAAAAGAACGAGGGAAGGATGGGTCAGAAGAACAAACGTTGAAACAAAAACCAAAGGCAAACATAGTAGGGGTAATTTTTTGTTCCAGTAAATTAATGTATATATTTGACACTTGGTTAAAAATATATATTTTACAAAGTACTTACTGTTTTGTAGCCACAGCCCTGCTAGGCACTTTCCAGCAGTTAGACTCTCTGAAAATACGAAAACTAAACGGCATGCCACAACCTCAAACAAATAGGAATTTCAACATTATGACTATCAAAGAGCTGGAATCTGTTAAGATTTGACAGTGGTAATTATTAACAAAACTAACTATATAAAAAAAACAGAAGCATACTTAACTTCTTTCTAGCGATATAATGTATCATTCCTATTTCCAAACGTCTCAACAATACCTGTAGACCGGCTTGACCTTGTCAGACCATGGCCATACGTTGTTCCAGTGGTTCACCTGAAAGCACGACTTCTTAAAGCAGTTACACAGGAAAAATTGCCTACCCTTTTCTGTTCCCAATGATAACTTCAAGGTTGCTTTCGATCGTCTCAATTATTTTTTCGTCGGACATTTTTGGCTTTCGAAAAGTGGGTATGGCGTCTTCTGGATTAGACCACTTCCTACCGCCAGGCAGTATTATGGGCCTCTGGATGGGTTTCAAAGGGCGTTCCTCCATCGTCTACGAAACGGTTAGAAAGAGACTGCTATTAAAAAAACCTGGCGCTAATGAGGCTAATTTTGGATGGGAACAATTTATTGCTTACCCCCCACCACAGAATTTTTGCCATTTGGCAGGCTGCTGATCGATTTGTTTATTACTCTATAGGCCGACGTACTGCAAAAATACCTCAGATGCCGTTTATTTTTAACAGAAAAGTCGTCTGTGCAATGGTTTTCAATGTCTTATATACTATGAACCCCCTTATATTTTGTTCTTTTGTGTTAATATAAAAACAACTATTACCTTCTGTCTCTTAGCCTCTAGTTCTTCCTTCTTGATTTGAGCCTCCCTCTCTTCCTCCGTCAAGCCAGCATACGGACTCGGTTCAAGTTCTTCTACATCTTCAACTTCTTCTCCTTCGACATCCCTCTCTTCTTGATCCTGAATTTGATCTTCCTCCAAATCTTCCGCGATGCTGGAATTTCCATCTGAATCCTCTCGCAGCAACTCCGCTTCCGCTTTCTCCGACACCGAAGTGTCTTCAAGAAATTCTGCAAGACATATCAATTTTGGATTGGTTTATAAATGATATAACCCTTCACCTTCTTCTGTTTGGGGTTCTTCTTCATCCTTACTGCTCGAAGTGTGTTCTCCGTTACGTTCCGCGCTTTCTCTCGCGCCAACGATGTTGGCAAGTTGCTTCGAAACGGCGTCCAAGGTCACCTGGATCGCAGAAGGTAGCTGCGATAACGCCTGCAATTGTTTCTGCACCGCGAGCAACTGTTCCTCCAGGGAAGGTTTGATTTCCATGTCCTCCACGGATTTGAAACTTTCCAAGCGTTCGCGATCTATTTCTACTGAGTCTCCTGAAAAATTATAATGCGGTAAAGGAACAGTTATTTAAATTCAGTAGTCGTACTTAAGCTTCCAGTATCGGAACACTCTCTTTGAATCTCTTCTTCGGTAGCTTCGGCCTCGTAATCGTAGTTCGAATCTGTTTCTTCGATGGTTATTTCTTCGTTTTCGGACGCCTTCAACTTTACTTCTACAGTTTCTAGTTGTCTCGTGTCCTCGTGAGTGGTCTCATGAGTTTCGTCGTCTTCAAAGTCCACCTCCAGCTCTGTCTGAATCGATGTCAATAATATAAGGAGCAAACACTACTTCGAGTATAAAATTTTACTTACTACGTTTTGATCAAATTGAACTCTTTTCTCCTGGGAAGGTCTCCGAGTTTGTTTCTTTATCACAACTCGGTACGGTTCGTCCTGAAAACGATTTTTGTTAAAGTTCAATATTAAAGAATAAATAAAAAATTTTGCCTTCGGTTTTTCCTGCACTTTTTTCTTCGGATTTGGTATTGGTTTGTCTGGTTTGATCAGGAATGTGGACCACTTGCTTCCCTTTTTAACTGCCGAGGTTGATTGAAATGTAACAGTATTGATGATTTCTTCTTGACTTAAAATAAAATTGATACGGTCAATATACTTTGTTCAAATAACTTTATACTTACCCTGCTAAGTTTTCAGTAATAATATGGGTAGATTTCTCCCTAGAACTATCTACAAAATAGAGATGCGCAAGTATTAATTAGCAACATGTAAACAACATACCTATGGAGTTTTTCATGTTATTTATTATAGTAATGGCTTCATTTAAAACGTCTTCTTCGATGACTTTCCTAATAGCGTTAGATTCTTCTACATCGTAATCTTCATCCTAAAAAGTATCGATAAGATTATCCTAAATCTTATTATAACAAACTTCATCCTAGTTCACTCACAGTGATTATCCTTGTGGTGATTTCTCCCCTACAAACAAAGGTTTCACTTAATCTCATACCTGTACCAGTAAAGCTATTTACCTTACCTTCGAATACCAAGTTCAAATTCAAGGCCTGCCGAGAGAAGCAAGTCGTGAACTTCGTTGTGCGTCAATCCCGCTGTTGAAGTATCATTTATTCTCACGATTATGTCTCCTACTTCTAGACCTGCAGATTCCGCAAGGCTATCAGCATTTACCTTAAAACAGTTCATTTTGGTACACGTAATGGTTTGTAACCTTTATTTAATCGTTAATATAATAATGTTAAAACATTCATCAAACCTAAACCTAATTATTGAAACGTTGACAGCCAACAAAACGATTAGTAACATTTATGTTTGAACTATGAGAAGCTAAAGATGAAAGTAAAGAATTACAAAGCTGTTTGTTACCACAGCTTTTCATTTTTTCTACTTCTTCTGCATGGAACACTTTATATTGTTTTAAATAATATTCTATTGAACTGACAATTGTTTTCTTTAAGTGAGTTTTATTTATACATAAGTGATTCATTAAGAATGGTCGATCTCTAAACTGGATTCGGTGGCCAAACAAAATCACCTCCAAGGCCAATCCACCGACGAAGAAAACGTTCATTACTGTCGCACTGGCAGAGAAAAATGTGGTGGTGTCCCATCTCCCATAAATCACTTGTCTCGTCTTATGGCTAGTGGTACATCTTCTAGGTGTGTGTTTGAAGTTTGGAGAAGAAAGTCCAAATAGAGAGGTCAGATTACGAGGGAGTTCAAAAGGACCAATAAAAATAAACCATATATCACACCACACCAAATTTTCCAAGGTTATTGAGAAATTTCAAATTAAAAGTCAATTCAACTTTGAACACCCTGTATCTCGTAAACCTGCAACATTTGTATATGCAATGTGAAGCTCAATCATCATATTTTGGTGTGTAGTAGATATCTCCAGTTTAAAGATTGCCTATTCTTAATGAATCACCTTGTATTAGTTGCTCGAAGAGTCATTTGTGAATTTAAACTTTTTGTGGTCAAGACCTGCTATTTTTGAAGAAACCATTGTCCACTTTGAGACTTCAGCCCTACCAACTGGGATGTTTTTGTACCAGTTTCATGATATTCTGGATTTGGTGCAAAAAATAGTCAATTTCTGTTTATTTTGGCATCTGAGTGTGACAAATTTTTTTTATACAAATCTAAAATAGAGAAAAGCAAAATAATCAGGAACTGCACATTTTGACTTACTGAAAAAGAGCAAATATGGGGTTGTATTAAATTCTGTCTCCATCATGCAACTTATCTTCTTTAAAAAAATCAATTAAGACAATTATAATATAATTTTTCATATTATTTTGAAGTTCGTCTGGTATATTTTCATCATACGATCTCAAAAGCCGATGAACAATTTTTTCTTTATTCTGGATTAGTTTACGACATAAATGAATCTATTATGGTTCCAAAATCCTCTATATATGTTTAGATATCATAATCCATGATGAATTATCAACTCTCAACAAAAAAAGATCCGTTATTTTTTCTCGTATTGACTATGACAGAAATTGCAGAAGAGGTTGAAGAGGTTAGCATCCCAATTGGGTCATGCCATGAAATTTTGACTGAAAAATTTCACATCCATCGAATTGTAGCAAAACTTGTCCCTCGTTTGTTGACCGAACAACAGAAAGAAAATCGTATTTGGTGTCAAAGTCAAGTTATTGTCCTCACCCTCCTTACTCGCCAGACCTGGCCCCTTGCGATTTTTTCTTATTTCCGAAATTAAACTCAATGCTGAAAGGACGCTGCTTTCAGAATATTTAGACGTTAAAGCAAATTCGTTAAGTATGACTGAACTTGGTAAACATCCTTATTAAAATATTAATTAATCTATTAATCTATTAAATTATTGTTAACATGTTATGTGAATAATTAGTGAAAAGTAGGTACGTACATATATGATATGCAACAAATTCTTTACTAATGTTTTAACAATTATTAGTATTATCTATAAGGTCACAATATATGTAGGTACTTATTAGTGTAGTAGAAACACAAAGTATTATAATTAAAAAATGATTAGGCATTACCATGTAATTTTGCTTTTATTAGAATATGGAAATTGTTACAAACATAATAGTGGAAGAGTTCCCTATAAATAACTGGATTTTCAATAATTCTTGACGACCGCTACAATATTAATATGTAACTGCACAGCTGCTAATTTGTATTTCCGGGAAAACATTCTTGTAACGTCTAGTCATATTTCTTGTTTAACGATAGATAGTTAAAGTCTTATTAACTACATTTTTCTAGGAAAAAATGCACAATTAATGTACCTAATTAGTGTTATGAACTGATTGAACTGGGAACAATGGCTGCTTTATTTAGAACTGGAATTGGGGTCATTATTAACGAATTGCTTTTTAAATGTCGTTCCGCATATACAAGGTGTCTCAAGCTCGATAGTATGGGCTTACTGTGAGGACACAAAAAATTTAAATAAAATCATGTTAAAGGTGATGAGGTAAGCTCCATTTTCAATCGAAAGTATTATCTTTGGAATTTGACAGAAACGACTAATGAAGTCATCAATTATATTTTTTCCAGAAACATACCCAAATTTCTTTCGTGTTAAAAAGCTCTAAATAGTCTCAAAAGACATACCACCTAAAAATCATATTAGCGGTGGAAGGATCAAGTAGTTGGAAAATAATTGAATGTTCGTTGTTTAAGGTGCATAAATGTCACAAAATACTTGTCATTACTCAATACGAACGTCAAACGAATAACTTTTGTGCTTACAAAATGTATTTTCTTTCAAAAAAAGTTAATATGTTGCTAATTTACGGTGGGTCACAAAAGAATTCAAGAAGAGCTGTGGAGTTATATCAAGCAAGGTATCCAGAGCGCCTCATTCCTGATCATAGAACTTTTACAAGATTGGAGGCGACCTTGCGAAGAAATGAAGATGCATTTTCAATTCGGAAAAATCAAATCATTGACCGAGGGGTAAGAGACAATGTTAATACAGCTAGACTGTTACAGTATTTCGAACAAAATCCACGAAATTCTATACGGCAGGCTAGCCGGGAATTGAATTTGGATAAATCAGCCCTTCAACGAATTTTAAAGACCAATGGGTATCATGACTACAAAATTCACAATTTAGAGTATTTGCCTGAGCGTTACATGGAAAACATCCTTAATTGTATAGCCCAAATTGTAGTAAATATAGAAACTGTTGATCAGAACCTTTTTCGACATGTTCTTTGCACGGACGAAAGTCGGTTTGTCAGTAATGGTTTGTCGAACAGGCGCAACGAACACTACTGGTCCATTGAAAATCCCCACATTGTAAATCCAGTCCAAAACCAAGGACATTTTGGAGTAAACGTATGGTGCGGCATCATCATGAACATACATTGAACAGCGTTACCTAAATTTCCTACAAGAAGAACTTCCTGCATTTCTGGAGAACGTACCTTTGCAGCTAAGGAGAAACCTATGGTTTCAGCACGACGGGGCTCCACCCCACCAGGCCAGGATTGTGCAGCCATATTTAGATATTCAGTGGCCGGGAAAGTTACCAGATCTAACACCCCTCGATTTTTTATGAGGGGTTTTAAAAAATAAGGTTTACAAAACACTTTGGCGAGATATTAATCATTTGAACGAAAAAATCATAAACGCTTGTAATGAGTTAAACGGTAAAATGTTAATAAACGCAGCCCATGAAGAAGTCAGACTGTATATTGGGTATGTGTCTTGAAATGAGAGGAGGTCATGTAGAGAATAGATTGTAATATGTATGTAGTATGAATTTTGACAGTTCGCATTTGAAATCGTAACTTGGCTCTTGGGCATATGTTTAAAAATTATAGGTTTATGTTATAAACTGTAAGGTGTAAAAGTGTTTTAAATACTCATAATCTCACAACAATGCCAAATTTTATGAATTTTGAAATGGTTCATCCCAGCTTTAATTTTTAACAGCTAGTGGCGAATAAACTGTCAAACTTAATAGAAACAAGAGATTATCTAAATAAAGCCAGAGCCTACTGGACCATTTTAAGAATTTAAATTTCATCTAACGAGTTACATAAAATCGTTTTTTATTTTTTTTCTCCATAACGGTCGCAGATACGAAAAAATCATAAGAGACAAAAAAGTTTCTCAACAAAACACAAAATCTAATTTTGATTTTAGAATCTACCAGCGGCGCAACGCACAAAAGTTCAGGGGAATAAAAGGGGGCATGAATCCCGAAAAAATATCACTCTGTAGAATATCACGATCAGTTGGCATGTCCAATGATGTAAGCCCTAAAGCGTAACCTATATTCCAAATTTGAGCTAAATATCTCAAAAACTGTGGGAGCTATAGAGAGAAAACTAAAAAAATCTTAAAATTCCAACACCCTGTAGATCGGTAACGAAGCGTTTGCGGACCTATGTTTATATGAACTTTTAGTCTTGAAATAAGCCAAAGAATTACCCCCTCCCTTATGCACATGATATTTAGGAACACCCTGTATAGATGCTTTAGACGGAAATTTGCTTAAACACATCATTGACCACAATTATCATTAAATTAATTATGAAAATTATTTAATAATCTTTAATTGTTCGCATTCCGACTCACATTAAATGTTACAAAACACCTTACATGCGGTTAAAATGATCGGTACAAAAGAAACTCGCGAACAAAAATATTTACCTTCACCACAACGATGGGCTGGTCGAACTCCAAACCCCCTACCAGCCTGAAACCCCATGGGGTGGCGTCCTCCGATTTCGACAGTTTCAACGTAATCGCCATTATGTTCGCGAAATCGGGTCACATTTAACTAAAACCGTCCGCAGCTCCAGATCGCACAATTGTTAATTTGGGAGTGCGACACATAGACTGCATTGCTATCAATCTATCTGGATCAAATAGACAGTTGCCAATAACGACTGGCATTTATTTATTCAGGATCCAGTCGGGGACTTGGGCGATTACAGAGAAAAGAGCCGGTGGAGCATTTTTCAGATCGTCATTATTTTATATCGATTTTTTCGCATATCTACAGGGTGTTTATGAATAGTCCAGACGGTATCGGTTTCAAAGAGTTCATATTTGGGTGAATCGTATGTCCACGGAGATTTTTGGCTTTTTGGCTTTCAAATATCACTAGAAATGAAAATGTTTCTATGCGCATAAAAAAAAACGTGGGCTTAACTTTTCGCGGCACAATATGTTAAAAAAATCGAAAAATGTCATATTTTTCTTCCTATTTAAGTATGTATATTTTCAAGAGTTGATTTTAGGCGAAAATGGAAAAGGAAAAAATCTTTGTAATTAAGAAAGATGGAAAGAAATAATGATTAAATTGATAATTAATTAATTAATTACTAATTTTCGACATATTTTGAAAATAATTGTTGTTTAAACAATTTTAGAATATTTAAATAAATTTGTTTTTGATCTTTGATAAACAGTATATAAGTTTATACACTTACCTTTGAAACAATAAAAAAATAAAGTTGATAATTAAAGGAAGTTTAAAGGTAAATAATTATGGGACTGTTGAAAGACCAATAATTATTAACGATAGGCATTTGAAAATACGCTAATTGTTTTTTTTTAAATCGCGAGACATCGATTTAAAAAAACATCAAAATCGGACCTCTAGAAGCTGAGATACTAAAAATTTTTAAGCGCGTCGCGGTTTTGAACTCGCCGATTCAATTTCGAGCAGGCCGAAGCGGCCGCGCTCTCTAAGTATCGCAAACTTAGATCTAGTAAGTACTCGGAATACCAAAAATATTTTTCGAAAAATTAGCCCGGATGCCCCAGTACATTTAGTGTAAATGAGAATTAACTTTGATCGGCTACAACTGCGTAACTAATTGACCAATCGATCTGTTTTTTTTTAAAGAAGCGTCTTTTCAATAACTTTTTAAAAAATTTTTGATTTGATTGAATATTCTAATTGTTTATAAGTACAAAAATTCAACCAATGTTTAAACAAGCGCCAGAGCTCTCCTAATTGACGGATTCGAATTTTTCAAATAGCGTTTGAAAGTTTGAGAGCCCTTCTATATGTGACTAAATTTTCAAGTATCTAAGGGCCTTGGTTTTTGCTGTGCAAAATTTTGAAGATTTGCAATTTTTTTTCAAAATCTGGATTGCAAAATTATTATGCAAAATCTATCGAACCAATTTTGGTGAAATTTGGTGTGATGATTCTACATAACATGAACTATTCTTGAGCCAAGTATGAAGGTCCTATACCCAACTTAAAGAACCCAAAAAAATTCCCTAAGAAGTACTGTTTTTAACCCCATTTTTGGCGTTTTTTTCGATTTTTACAATAATAATCATGATTCATTCGATTTGTAACTAGTTATATTTTGTAAAATTTAATTACTAACATTTTTTTCCTCTTCCATTTTCGCCTAAAATCAACTCTTGAAAAGATAATTAAATAGAAAGAAAAATATGACATTTTTCGAATTTTTTAACATATTGTGCCGCCAAAAGTTAAGCCCACGTTTTTTTTATGCACATAGAAAAATTTTCATTTTTAGTGATATTTGAAAGCCAAAAAGTCCAAAATTTCCGTGAATATACGATTCACCCAAACCAAAACAGATACCGCCTAGTCTAGAAGAACTGTAACGCTAGGGCGGGGCAACCTAGGACAATACGGAATGACCACTAAAAATTTTCTGGGCTAAAATTTGTAAACATAGATCTGTAAATTTGGTTTTGTTACTTAAATTTTCAACCACTTGTGAAACTATAGTAATTTTTTAATATACAGCCCCGAAGTTAAAATTTTAAAATTTCAGGACAGTATTAGGGAATTTCTCATTTTTCTGTGGCCACTTACGAAAGTTTACTTTGTACTTCTACTAGTCACAAAATTTATTCAATAAATTTTTTAGTAATAAAATGCTGTACACATTTTTTAAATTAGTTTTGCAATATTATTCTAGCAATGTGAGCAGCTAGAGTCAACAATTTATAAACTTCAATTCGGTATTAATAGTTTCACGACTTCTTACTACGATTTTACAGATTTTGCTGGTCCTAAAGGGAACATTTTTCATTCACTTGCGCCATGAAAAAGTATTTCTATAGAGGGTGTTAATAAACCTATGATTTTCATAGAAGATGTTCGATGTACTAACCATTTGTTTGCGCGCAAGCTTCAGCGCGATGTATCCAAGTTTAACTCAGTTTTTGCTCTTTTTTCATCCCTTTAAATTTTTGACATACCTAACTTTAATTAACACCCTGTATATTTTTTAGTATCCGCATTGGGTTAAATACAGTAGATGAAAAAATATTCTGTAACTATTCTCATTATTATAATAATTTTGGAAAACCGATAAAAATGTGTTATCATAAGGATTTCATTTTTAATTAAAATAAATTGAAGAAAGTGTAGCAAATAATTAAATGCATGGTTTCTGTAACTATTTTCTGAAATCAATGAAAACTGTATGGTTTGAACATATTGGGTGTTAAAAAATAACAAATATTTGAACCAAAAAAATGTTGATTTGAAAAATCGACGTACCTTTTTAATGACTACTGTAAACAGGTGTCCAAACCAAAGAAGTACACTCAAGCTTAGATCTTACAAATCAGTAAAAGTTGAGAATTTCTGAGTTTTGAAAATTTTTCATATTTCGAATAATAGAACATACATTCTTGCAAGCGCATTTTTCAGCATATTTTCACTATGTTTAGTAAAAGCTTAGGATCGAAAAATAACTTTAAATCTTAAACCATGTCAGGTCTTTGAATGGCAAAACCATCAAGTTTGTAGTTAAATGATATTTGATTCATCTGTGGACTAAAAATCATGATAATACATTTCTTACGTTTAAATCACATACAACGTCATTAACAACATTAAAGGTCCAGTGGCAGAACCCTGCGGTACTTCCGAAATCTAGGTGATTTCGGCAGACTTGACCTCTGAAACATGAATAAATTTACTGGATATGAGGTCACAAGCTTCATCAGTGCCGACCATGACCCAGCGGAATTCAATTTATATAATAATAATTCGTGGTTAAAACGGTCGAAGTCCGTATAAATTATATCCAACTAACCTTCTTTCTCAATGATCTCACTGATGTGCTATGTTTCACATATGTGCCAAATTAGTGGTTAATGAAATTTTAGTAAAAACTCACGGATGTTCACAAATTCTGACTAAGAACTTTTATAAATTTGGTCATTCTGTACTTGTTTAAGTTGTTTCATTTTACCATTACAGTACGGTATATACGGAGTGACTCAGAAATGATCGTTGATCTCCGTTACAGCTAAATGGAAGAGAAAATCGCAGCTAGATTTTAAAATACTTTATTAATAACAATTACTGACAAAAAAATAGGATTTTCAAATTATGTAAAAAAAATATTTATGAAATTAATAAAAATAATAAATAAAACTTACCAAGTTGGAACTTTATGTCAAATATATACAGGGTGATTCACAAATGGTGAACAAAAATGGAACCTCGTATTCTTTGGTGAATTTTAAGGGGGGTCTTTCCTGTAAAGTTTTTATCTACGACGCTTCATTAAAAAGATACAGGGTTTTAAACTTCAAAAAATAATTTAAAAACTAGTAAGTGAAACACTTTGAAATTGGGCACGTGTTTATGTAAACATTGTCCAAAATCTGAGGGTTTTTCCAGTGGCGGAGATACAGGGTATCGGTGGCATATTTTTCTAAATAAAATAGTACTCCACTGCTTTATGATAACAACCATGATATTTTCGGATTCGTCTTTCAATTTTCTACAAATTACTACCCTCTTATGTTTTTCGATAGAAGCTTGATTTTCGAGTAAAACTTAAAAAGTTCAACACCCTGTATCTTTTTAACGAAGCGAAGCCTAGATAAAAACTTTATAGGACTCCCCTTAAAATTCACCAAAGAATACGAGGTTTCATTTTTGGTCACCATTTGTGAATCACCCTGTATATCATCATGCTATAAAGATCCTCGTTTGCGATATTCCATTTTCTCTTTCTATTTCCCTGTATGTCGACCAAAGATATTCATCTTCAAGAGATGTAGAAAAAAACCATTGTTTCGAAATTGAAAGCCATAAAAACGTTTTTATTTCTTTATGAGTTTACGGCCCAGAACAAGGACACCACCGCTGTTGGATTGTGTTTTGTCGTCTACAAAAAATCTAGGTCGCAACCTTCAGACACAGTCGTTTAATAGTAATGTATGTAATTACTTTACACCCGTCTGCCACGTTATTTTCCACCTGGTGTAAATATGGCATAGGTGCTTGCACTTTCAATAATTTTTGGTTTCGTGTATCTCCGTGCTTCCAAAGTTTAAGAAAAAAACGTCTAGGATTAATTTAGAAGGGTCGAAATAGTTTAGCACATTTATTTTTTATTTTTCCGAAGCTATCCAAATCTATTTAAAAAAAATATGGATATTTGAAAATATTAGGAAGAATTTAACTTTTGTTAAAATCTAGGAGATAAGGGGTTCTAGCCACCATAGGCTATTGATTATAAGACTTTAAAAGGAACTATGACGTTCAAGATATTTTATTACATGAATCGTTCAAATGATAATTTTAGATGAAAAAACCGCGGAGTGCTATTAAATTAGAGGGTGGAAATTAGAAATAGGGTAAAAATGCACCCCTTTCAGTTTTTTAATTGTAGCTCGAAAACCAAGCAAGATTTCGCTATAGTTTGCTATATAGCCAATTTTTCGATTTTCGTCGCGTTTCGTACCTTTATAGAATTGATTTTGTAACAAAAGCCGGGGCGCGTGGTAATTTATTTATTAGTTCTCGGAACGGATGGGCCAAAAAGTGAAATGTTTCAGTCAACACAAATTATCGAAAGTTGAGAGCTTTCAAGTAGGTAGCGTCGCCCTTCGGAGAAATTTACCAATATTTTAACAATTCACTTAAACTGTCGGAGCCATGTGTTAAGCGTCTAGTATAAAAAGAGAAATCGATATTTTTAATAACGCGCGAAACCACGAGAAGAGCGTAGAGATTCCAAAGTAGAATTAAATCAAATTGTAAATTGTAATTGGAAAAGAAAGTAACAGCTATTAAGAATATATTAAATGAGATTGACTAATCGACCCCGTATTTGCTACACGGAGTCGCTAGAGGAAGGCTAGGGTTACTCGTAAGTCACATAATTATTTATGTAAATGTAAATTCAGTCCATTAGACAATTATTAACATGGCATAGTTAGGCCAGAGCATTCCGACATTCAGGGTCCCCTCCAATAAGACAAGAACAGGAACTTCTGGACCCAAGAAATGGGCGTGGTGAAGCGAAGTGTGGAATTCGAGAAAGATCTGCAAGAAAGGCGGTCCTTCCTTAGATTTCATATTGAGCAGTAGACCTAGTTTTAGATTAGAGTCTCGGGCTAGTTAATTAAATTTAATAATGGATAAAGTCTTTTCCAAATTTCGCTATGGAGCGCGCATTCCCTGAATCTCGGTACGCTGTAGCGTAATAATAAATTAGTTAATAATGTTGTTCGAGCCGTTGTGTTGTAATTTTGTTTGTTTGTTTGCTTTATTGTTATTAAAACCCTTTCTAGAAGTTTTGGTGTTTCCTTTTGTTTTTCCAACTTCAGTGTCACCCTGTATAGCCAGCCATTGGATTACATTCCACGTAAGCAATGAATGGTAAGTGCTTGGAATTCATTCTCTGCACATACAACATTTAGAAGTTCCCACGTATTAATTAAAGTATAATAATAATTATAAACTCCCTTTCGAGAATTGAATAATAAACTCTTTTGAAATCCAGTCTCGTTATGATACTGGTCATAACGATACATAGATAAATAAAGAAATAACCCCTCAGGTTACAATTTTCCCATCGAAATGGCTTAATTAAAAAATTTAAAAGATACATTTTATGCAAAAAATCGTTAATAAACAATTTAAAAAAACAAAAAATAAGAGTTTTTTTACTTTTTTGACTATTTTTCCTTTAGTTGACATTGGAAAAGAAAATTGCTGTACAAAAAAACTAGGTGAGATTCCCTTCAAAATGATGCGCTTTCAAAAGCTTTTGGACTAATATTGATTGAGTTATAACCTGTCAAACTTAAATATTTTTTAGATTTTCTTCGTTTTTAATATAAGAATGATTATAATTCTTATTATTTTTTCAAAAAAGTAACGGTAAAAGTCGACCTTGTAGACTTGTAACGAAACAGAAATTAAATATATTTCAAATTAAATCATTTTACAAATCTAAATGTTTTTAAATTCTAAACAATATTTGAGTATAATTAATAAGTAGCTTTTAAATAAAATCATTTATATATATATTTTTATAAATTTCCTTATTTGAGATAGTAAAAATGAAATATAGTATGATAAACTGTAATTTCACTTGAAAAATTTCTCATAGTTTCATACAGTTGTGAGAATCTTTATTTATTATTAACAAATAAAACTTTTGAAATAATTTTTTATTAAGTAAAGAACCAATTCGTTGAAAAAATAGGAACGCTGAAATGGATTTTGCTTACTTTCTTATTATCAAGAGCAAAATGGGAAATAAGTATTGAGTGTGTTGTAGTAGGTAGTCCAATTAAATAAGCCTTTAAATCGAAATGTTGGTCAACTTGCATGAATTTTTGATATGAGTTAGTTTGAGGTATATTATAACAATAATTGACAGTAATTTTTTGTTCAACCCCCGGCCAAGGGTGAAAAAAGATAAAACAAAGGAGTTTTTCAAGATAACTCAGAAGGGGCAAGGGCTAGAAAAAAAGTTTCTTATAAAAGTTGTAAAGTATACAATTCTACATAAAAATGGTACTTGACTTTTTCTTGTACTATTAAAATTAACAGAGGTAGGGAGGCTAGAAGTTAAGGGAAGATTTCAGAAATTTAAAAAATCATAAGCAGAAAAACGAATGAATTTTATATTTTTTTCAATCTACTACTAAAAAATGTAAAGAGACTCGTATTTTTTTTATCGGTGGAAAAACATATTTACGAGGTAAAATACACCCTCAAGGTTCGCCCTCCAAAACAGTTTTTTCAAAATTCTTGGGGTTCTAATCAATATTTTGAATTGAAACAAAATGGAAATTACTTATGATAAAAAAACAAATATTTTGCAAGTGATTCCGTGTTTGGGGGTTGCTACCCTTATTTTTTATTTCAGAAAAACTATATTTTTTATTTATTAAATTGACCTGTTTCGAGGTTTTCGTTTTCGGGGTACAACAAATATGAAATTGTTATAACTTTCTTATTAAAAATTAAAAAATATATCTATTTTATAGATTTATTTTATATTATTTATATGTCATTTTTGATGTTAAAAATGACATTTTTAACATCAAAAATGACAATTAAAAAGCCCACTTTTAACAGTTTTGTAGAAAAAATATATTTCGAATTTGTTTGAGTTAGCTTGATGCATTAAAAATAGATTAATAAATGGAAATACTTAGATAAATCGATACCAGTATAACATACTTTCCTCTATTGTGTCTATTTCTGTAATTGGCGACCTTGTATGGTACAATAATATGGCGAGTCTTACAACTGATTACTCTGCGATGTAGAGGTGATCGTTAATCGTTATGCTTTCAGTCGTTGAAGTTGTGACAGCGTTAGTGCTGGTGGGTGTAGCTTACTGGTGGTTAAGCTGGAAAAGGTACGAAAGAAAACTGAAATGGATACCGAAGGCCCCAGGGCACCCGATATTCGGGAATGTTTTGGAGTTTGGAAAATCCACAGGTACGTGATAAAAATTATACACCAGGAAAATTAGCGAAAATAAAAGAGAAACTCGAAAAAGTCCTATCCGCGAGATTATTGTAAAATTGTCTAGAAGAACATAATACAAGACATATCTTGTCTCGTGAGTCAACAACTTTTATTAGCTAACTTTTCTATTTAAACAAATAAGTGAGGAAAACAGTTTTTTCATTTTGCAGGGAAAACCATCAATTTTAGCGAAAAGTGACTCACAGACAGCTTATAGGAAGTAAAATTATCTACAAAATGAGACTTGTTAAATTAAAATCGGTTAATAAACAAAAAAGTTACTGCAAAAAACAAGAAAAGTGCCCATTTTTTAATTTGTTTATAACTATCGCATTTATTGTTAAAATTTTATAAAACCTATGACAAGTTGAGGGTTTTGTCATACTTTAAAAGTGTGCCAAAAGTGGGCGCTGTAGGTGCAATAGTTTTCGCACAATTCTATTTGTTTATAGCGGAGGCTCCAAAAGTTATTAACTTTAAGCCTCTGTACAGGCGTTAATTTTCAATCAAACATGATTCTGAAAGCGTCATTGTAATCTTAAAGACGTAATTAAGCGACTTACTAAAAAATATCACTGTTTTTTTTAAAATTAACATTCTCAAATTGTGCATTAAAATAACATTGTTGCTATTTATGCTATCTCACCGAAAGTAGATGCAATGGATAGCTGGCAAAAAAATACAGTTTTAAAATAAAAAAAGTACCCTCTACGACCAACAGGAGCCAAGATAAGAATTGCCATTTCCGTGTTTGAATATGACTCCATTTTATGAGTTGCAATAATGTTGTATATTTAAATTTTTCACTCACCACTTTTACTAATTAAACACTGCAAAGCTAATTGACAGTTTATCAATAACTTAAATTGTTAAGCGTTGTGGCAACGTCAGTCTTTTATTTGCCATGGTAAAGAGATTTTTGTAATTTTTGGCCTAATAACTTAAAGAGCAGAGTAATTTTCAAACTCAATTTACTCGAAAACCATTGGAAATATCGATTTGGACAAAGATAATATTTTTTACGTAGAATTGTTAAGATTTTATAAATCTGTAGAGAAAATTGTAAAAAAATTGAAATAAAAAAAATTACGGGCCGAAAACCCCCTTCACCAACCTAAACGGAACGCATATGATTTTCATGTCGAAAAACGGAGCAGCCCATGTTATTTAACATAAAAAGTTATGTAAGACCCATAAATTTTTTCTATTTATTTGCGACCGTTTTGTCAATACCAGAAAAAAAAACAGTTTTGTTTGAGCCCTTTTAAGGGCATATAAATTCCTAAGGGTGCGTTTTAGGGCACATGTTAATAGGAACTTTTTGGCTTATTTTAATGAGTTGTAAACGCAGCAGAAGTTTGGAACCCTATTTTAGAAACACCCTGTATGTATAATTCAAAACTACACAGTTGGGTTTAATTAATTTGTTGATAATCGTATTTTGACATGTTCCAATTAGATCAACAACATCGAAACTAACAATAAGCTATTATAAGAAAAATAAAAGAAAAAATATTAAAAGAAGATTTAGACCTTGCTCGTATTATTTTCTAATTTGGGCTTTTTGCTTTTATGGAATTCATGAATTTATTGACTTTCAATCCAACTCATAGTTATGCCCTTTAACCAAATAACTGCCTTGAGCAGAAATTTTAAATATAGATTTTATGTTTCCAGTGCAAATAACTGCTAATTCTTAAGTCAACGTAAATCGGAATGTGGATAAGTTAAGTTTATTTTAAAAGATTTACTTCCTGCATGTGACAAATTTTATACAGAATGTCCCACTCTATAAGAAAAATATTGCGTAGAAGAGAAATTGCACAAATTATTTATCAATATTTCCGGTGCAGTATAGCAATATTTGTCTATCCTAGATACTCTGAGAGTGTTTTCCGGTTATATGAAGCAATGCAATGGGTTGTGTGCGGTAGATCTAATGGTGAAGAAGATGGTAGTAATAAGCGACTTGAAATTTTTGGAGTTCCTTTTGACTTCAACCAAAATTTTGGACAAGTCCAGGGAATACGGATTCCTACATAGATGGTTGGGAGATGGACTGCTTACAGCAAAAGGTAACAATTCTCATGCAAAGGAAATCCAGGAATAGTTAATCTTTCCTCTTTTAGCTGCACGATGGAGAAAGAGTAGGAAAATAATAACTCCCGCCTTCCATTTCTCCATCTTGGGGAAGTTCGTATCTATTTACGAATCCAATGCGGATGTGATGATAAAATTATTGGAGAAAGAGGTTGGGAAAGATTCGGTGGATATCTATACATACGTAACGCTGTGTACTTTGGATATAATTTGTGGTGACTATTCCTTTTCACCAAAAACAATATTATAAAGACTTTATTTAGTGGAGTCAAGATAGCTTAAAGTTACGCATTATTTCGAAATAATTATGGGAAGCATGGATTTTCCTAAAACCTCTTGAAATTACTTATTTTCGTACGCTAATTGTTTTTAATTGTTTAAACAATGATAAACAGTATTTTTAAGAACATATAAAATAATTCAATGAATTTTTTCAAATTCGATCGATTTTAAATAAAAAAACTCGCTCATATTTGTAATATAGAGGTTCGAAAATTGAAAATTATAAATGGCTAAAGAGGTTTTATTGAAAATATGTTTTATTTTTTAAAAAACAGATTTATTACAAAATAATTAATTTTTAAATCTCATCGAGTTCTTGCTCTTCTTCGTTCCCTATTATTTATTTATTCATTCATTAATTATTTTTAAAATGGATCAATATTCATAAATAAATATTAAACTCGTATATTTACAGGTTTATCATAAAAGAAAACGAATATAAATACATTAAATGCAAACTGAAGATTATTTGTAATAATAAGTAATAATATTACATTAAAGAATTACAAGTGTACGAGAGTATAAATTTAAAATGGACAAAATATGAGAAAAATACACTTTTTAACACACTGATAACTGCAGCTTACCCGAAAACATAAAAATCATATTCTTATACCATTTATAATAATAATAATTTAATTCTTATAAACGAAAAACGCTTTTAAAATTAATAAAACTGATTAGACTCATATCTGTGTCTACATCAATAAGAGAACTTATATTCACAATTTCAGATACAGAATATACGTTTTAAAAATGAATATTAAATCAATTCATCAAAAAACGTAATTTTTTTGCTGTTATAACAATTTTCCACTTATTACTATAAATAAAAAAAATATTTTTCGCTGATTTACTTTTTTTAAGGTCTTAACTTAATTCTTTGATGGTTTATTAAACAAAAAAAAATTTTTTTTGTGCATTATTAAAATTTATTTAACAATAAATTTCATCGATTTTTCATGATATATTTTTATTTTTTGTTATTTTTTGTTTTTTCAACTATTATTTCAATTTTTTAAGAAAAATAAAATGCACCATCTTAAAGTAGAGATTTTAAGCTTTAAAAAGTGCTTTCATAAAGTTTCAATATTCACATTTACAACTCTAGTTTTTGATCTATAAAGTATGGCCTAAAAAGTCAAATTTGTGATTTTTTAAAATTATTGAATATGTTGGGCTCAATATTTTTCAAATTAAATTTTTAAGATTTTTTCTATATCGCTCACTGTTTCAATCGTCATTTGAAGAGTAATCTGTGAAAGTTACAGATATTTATTTTAAAAATTAAAAGAATGACGGCTATTTTATTATTATTGTACAAAATTATAGAATGACGTAACTTTGTATACGTATTATATATCTTTTTTCTCAAGTTTAAAAACATAAAATTTTGATAGCCGGATGACTCTTCATTCATTTAAATTTTTGTGAGGTCGATTTCATCAATTAGATCAAAAGCTCGGGGCCGCGCGCTGTTCGTGAGCTATACTTGGGGTCCGCCCGTCTCATTTTTCGTACGTTAGAAAAAAAATTCTACAGCCTTCAATTCGCATTTTCGAAAAAAACTTTATTAACATTTTTTATGTAAAATTTCCTGTTCTTTCGAACGGTGCTGTATTTTTTTTTTAAATTATATATTTTTTATATATTTTGCAAAAACTGTAATTTTGCAACCAATTTGTTAAATAAATAATTTAGCGTACACTCTACAGTGGGTAACTTTGTATATCTTGTTTCTGACGACTTTACAAAGCGAAAAATAAAAAGTTCTCTCTTCCCGTAATTTTCGCGAAGTCAAAATCTATCTTGACTCCACTAATTAGTGAAAATTCAAAGCAAAAAAACAAACTTCTAAATTTTGCGGAGCATTTTAATGATTTTATAATAAAGTAACTCTGTCATGGTATATCTGGTTTAAAAATAGAAATTAATTTTAGTAATCATTATTAGATAAACAAATTAATGTTGTTATTGTATGTTTAACATTGATGATAATATAACTCTCAGAATCGCTATTATAACGAGCGTTCAAATAAAAACGTGGTCAAGTTGGTTCTGAAAATTTGTTCGTAGGGCGTAGCGTATAGCAAATGAACTTAAACGTCATCTGTCAAAGCGCTATATCACCGCTATCAATTTGAATATTTTCGTTTTAAAAAGCGTTTAAAATGGTGTTTTTTCAAGAACAAAAAGTGTTTATCATAGAGTCCTACTTTAGAAATGGACGCAAGATTGATGGAATATGGAAGTATTCTATTGAGGAATGTTTCATAGAATTTCAAAATCAATTTCCCGGCGTTGTTGAGTACAACATTTTTCAAAGTGCAGTTCAGCGTTGTGTTAATGTTTTTCGTGAAACGGGCAGTGTAACAAGAAAAGAAGGAAGCGGCCGACCTAAAAAGCGGACTGAAGAATTAAAAGAAAATGTCCAATAAATAATGGAAAATGCGCCAAGAACTTCTGTACGTGTTTTATCACAAATGGTGGGAGTATCAGTCGGTACCTGCCACACAGTGTTAAAAAAAGATTTGCGTTTGTTCTCCTATCGTTTAACTTGTCAGCAAGAACTTCATGAAGTTGATTTTCCGCGACGGGCTGTATTTTGTGAATGGTTTTTAAACAACTACGGTGAACTTCATAATATCACCTTTTTTTCTGATGAAGCCTGGTTTCATTTAAGTGGTTACGTAAACTCACAGAATATGAGAATGTGGTCTTCTGAAAAACCAGATAACTTTTTTGTCGAGGGCCCTCTACACGCTCAAAAAATTGGAGTTTGGTGTGCTCTCAATCGAAGGAGGATTTATGGACCTATTTTTTTTAATGGTACTCTTACTGCGCAAAGGTATAGAGAAGAAATTATCGCTCCTTTTGTTAACCAGCTGGAAGAAAACGAAATTACAAACTTTTACTTTCAACAAGATGGCACAAAGGCGCATACGGCAGGCAAGACGATGAATATGTTGAGGGAAGTTTTCCAAAATCGACTAATAAGTCTCAATGCTGAACATGAATTTCCACCGAGGTCATGTGATATTACGCCGTGTGATTTCTTTTTGTGGCCTTACCTTAAAAACACTATTTTTGAACTGCCTATTCCTGATTTAAACCATCTGCAGGCTCGACTTATAGACAAGATTCGTGAAATTAACAATACCCCGAGCATCTTAGAAAATGTCTTTAATTCTTTGAGGAACAGGTATGAAAAGTGCTTGGAACAAGGAGGGGGACACTTTCAGCAGCTGCTTTAATTTATTGTTATAACAAGGAGGGGGACACTTTCCGCAGCTCCTTTAATTGTTTGTTATTGTTATCACGATTATTCTTTAAAATAAAGTTATATAGTCACTAGAATGACCCGGCAAACGTTGTTTTGCCATATAAATTAATCCTAGGATTATTTTAGTAGTTTTTTTATAAAGAAATTTCACTTCTACCATCTATATTATATTTAGTGTTATTCAGTGTATATCGTGTATATTTTTTTTTATTAATAGTAATAGTAAATGTCATTATTACGGTTGATGCACAAACAATAATAATAATGGCCGAAAACTGTAGGGAGTGAGAAACGGCTCATTGTGTGAGAGAGATCTCATCCCTACTCCGTGCTGTTTACTGGGTCAGAAGTGACACCGGTCGACGCCTGGCGGGGATAAAAAAAATTATCAAGTGATAATTGATCAGTTATCGACCGGGGTTGAAAATTATTGAATTACTAATATCGCTATTAAAAAATAAGGGTTGATGGTATAGAAGGGTGAAAATTTAGGATTGTATGTATTTTTTAAGGCCACATCATAAAAAAATAAAAAAATAAAATTTTGTCCAAAAAACAACAAAAAAAATTTTGGGGTGGACCACCCTTAACATTTAGGGGTATGAAAAATAGATGTTGGCCGATTCTCAGACCTGCCCGATAAGCACACAAAATTTCATCAAAATCGGTCCAGCCGTTTCGGAGGAGTACGGGAACGAACATTGTGACACCAGAATTTTATATATAAGATTAACGTTATTGAAACTGACAGCTGCTATACAGCTCGTTGAGAAATGAGGTTAAGTTGGTCGCTATAAGCTACTCCCTACGTCCAATGTGTCAGAGCTAACTTCGACCACGTTTTTATTTGAACGCTCGTTATTTACATTCAAGCAAAAAATATACAGTTCTATACGTGTCCTCATTCAATTATTTTATAAAAAATAATATCACTTCAATTTGACCTAATTAATAGCTTTAATTAAGGACTTAATTCCTTATTAAGTTCGACGCAGCAACTAATAGATAATAAATTATTATTAATGACTGCATAGCAGTTGCAGAACATTTTTAATTCTGCGTTTTATTTGTATACAACGATATAATGAAAGAGCTGATATACAGGGTGTTCCACCGGGAACTGCGTCGATTAATATCTAGGAAAGTACTGCTCCGAAAAATTTGAAAATTTGGCAACATGACAATATCCCTAGGGAGAATACATCTAAAGTATTTGCAATTTTCTATTTTTTGGACAGTTTTTCTCGTATCAGACCTGTTGTCAAATTGGCCATGACCAGAAATACTCCCAAAACACTTGAAATAACATGACACTTGTCAAGCTACTTGTCAAATTATTGTTGTGTCTGAATAGTTTTTGCCGAAAATTTAAATAAAAATGCCTGGGCATCGTTTAAATTATACTAATGAGATTTGTCCAGCCCAAACTGAAAGACACCGTGGCGCAATATATTAAAGAAAATGTTATTCATTTTTTCAACTTCAACACCCTGTATCTCACCAAGGAAGCACTTTAGGCAAAAATTTTATATAAAGTACCCCTACGAATTTTAAGTGTTCTATCTGCTGGCGAAGTTTGTAACTTTATTTTTGTTATACCCTGTATAAAAAATCTATCAGTGCACCCGAAACAGATTTGAAGTTTGTCTATCCTTAAACACATAGGACGATAATTCCCTATTTGTTAAATTTTTCCTTCCATGGTTCTTGTCGATTAATAATACCGCGTGTTGTAGAAACCTCAATGGGAGTGAAGATAAACGCACAGATGAACAGACAGTCAGATTACGTTTTCGCGGTCAAGGAGATGTGCAGGATAACCGTAGACCGAGGTTTTTCTCCCATAAAGCAGTTAGATATACTGTATCCGCTAACCAAAGATTTTCACAAGGAGTTGAGATATGTCAAAACGTTACATTCGCATACCGAGTCTGTAATTCGCGCAAGGAAGTTAGCATTGCAAAATAATCATTCCGAAAACGATATGCAAGCTGCAGAGAAACCGAAGAACATTTACGAAGAAGAGCTGGGTGCCAAGAAGAAGGTCGCGTTTCTTGACTTGCTTTTACAGGCTAGGGTTGACGGACAACCTTTACCCGACTGGTATATCAGAGAAGAAGTCGATACTCTTATGTTTGAGGTTCGTTGAGTAAAATACAAGTACTCCTCTAACTATACAGGGTGTCACATTTATGATATACCTAGTGACGTAATATCTTTCAACTAAAGAAAATGGTAGTTTACCAAATTATCGTTAAAATATTTTGTGGTTGTGAAAATAGACCACCCTGTATGTTATTATAGAAGTATTTCGTAAAATCTGAGTTAAAAATTTGTTTTCAGGGACATGATACCACCGGTGCTGCTTTAAGCTTTGCCTTGTGTTGTTTGGCTGAAAATCAGGAAGTTCAAGTAAGACTGTCATTTATTAGAAGTGTTGTTGCATATTTTTTAATTTCTTGTTTCAGTAATAAACTAAAATATTAATATAAATAGCAAAAATGTGTCTATTTATTGCAAAATTTTGTTCAAATTCTTTAATAATTTTGCTTAAAAAAATATTGAATTGATATAACAAATATTTTTTAGTACGTTGACAGGATGTTTATTATTAGTCCAGAGACGGTATCTGTTTCAAAAAGTCCATATTTGGAAGTTTTCTTGAGCCAAGTATGAAGGTCCTATACCCAATTTAAAGATCCCAAAAAAAATCCCTAAAAAGTAATGTTTTTCGATTTTTACAACAATAATCATGATTCATTCGATTTGTAACTAGTCACATTTTTAAAAAAATTTAATTACAAACATTTTTTTCCTTCTCAATTTTCGCCATAAAATCAACTCTTGAAAAGATACATAATTAAATAGGAAGAAAAATATGACATTTTTCGATTTTTTTTAACATATTGTGCCGCCAAAAGTTAAGCCCACGTTTTTTTTTATACGCATAGAAAAATTTTTATTTCTAGTTATATTTGAAAACCAAAAAGCCAAAAATCTCCGTGGATATACGATTCACCCAAACCAAAACAGATACCGCCTAGTCTATATGCGCTCTTACAAACTTTATTGGTGGATTTACGTCAAAATTTAAAAAACAAGTTCCTATAAACATCTGTGCGAAAACGCTTTGTTTTTGATATACAGGGTGTATCTAAATAACACCGAAAAAATTCAAGGGGCGATTCTCCGATGAAAATTAATAGGGGTTTTTGGTATAAAATTTTTTGAAAAAACCCTCCCCTGAACAGTTACGCCCCTCCTAAAATTACAAAAAAAAATTGTTTTTCTTTTTTATCTTCCACGTACATCAAGCTAAAGAAACCAAACTTGGTGAACATTATCTGTCAATAAAACTACACTTTTTGAATTTTTTTCAACCCTGAACTATTTTTGTAAGGGGTTGAAATAATCAACCCCTATGACATTTTTTCTTATAATTTTTTTTTCGATAAAATTTTTTCCTTTTAAAAAATATGTCTAAAAAACCCCATTCATTTACTAACTTTTTGATCTCTTCAAGTTTCTTCGAAAAGTTAAGGATTTATGACAAAAAAAAATAAATGTATTGTAATGTATTTTTAAAAAGATGAGCTGTTTAACGCGAGTGTATTTTGCCGAAAGATCTAGTGGCCTGTTCTTTACAATGGAATCCGTAGAAACAAATGTCAATGTCATTTATTGTCATATTAAATAACATTTTATTAAAAAACACTCAACCAAATAGTTGACCTATGATTCTACTAGGCTAAGAAGTTTGGAACTTAGACTAAAAGTGAACAAATGATGAATAATGTTATAACAGTAACAAAAAATAAAAATCTGTCGGATATTGACAATACAATCTACAAAAAATGTTGAAAATGATTGCCTTCAGCTTCAATACAAGCATCTACTCTTGTTCTCATAGAATTGCGTATGCGTTCAAATATTCCTGGTGAATTTTTTATCGTTTCACACCCTGCTACAATGCGGTTTCGCAAATCATTGATATCTTCAACTGGCCTTGAGTAGATCAAAGATTTCAGATATCCCCATATGCAAAAATCCAAAGGATTAAGGTCAGGGGAGCGGGCTGGCCAATTTACATATCCTCCTCGACCTATCCATCGATTGGCATACACCTCATCCAAGTGACGTCTTGCACGTATACTAAAGTGGGCTGGTGCACCGTCGTGCATAAACCATAAACGTTGCCTAATTTGAATGGGAACTTCTTCAAGAATAATAGGTAATTCTTCGAGAAGATGACAATATGAGTCACCATCTAATCGTCGTGGAAGAAAATAGGGACCAATTAAATGATCGTCGATAATTCCGAGCCACACATTTAATGAAAATTGATACTGATGATTTCCTTCAAAAAAGTCATGAGGATTTTCCTCAGCCCAAATATGATTGTTACGAAAATTTCTAATACAGTCTCTTGAGAAATTCGCCTCGTCAGTAAATAAAATATTTCTTAAGAACTGCGGCGCTTGGCCGATCATATTAATAAGCCATTGACAAAAAACCACACGTGGTAAAAAATCTCGAATCAGTAACGACTGCACCCGTTGGAGATGATAGGGATATAACTGTTGTTCTTTTAAAATTCTAAAAACTACCGAATGGCTTACATTTAGGACACGAGCTATTTTCCTGGTACTAGTTTCTGGGGATTCCTCAATTAAATTAAGTACGGCTTCATCGACAGCTTCAGTTCTAACTTCTCGGCTACGGCCACAGTCATGACTTCTCTTTTCAAATTTTCCAAGTTCCCGCAAGCGTTGGTGAATATTTGTGAACGTAGTATGGTGGGGTAATCTACGCTCTGGGTACTGTTCAGCATAAAGTCTTTGCGCTTCCAATGCATTACCGTTAGCATACCCATATGTAAAATGCATATCTGCCATTTCTAAATTCGAATAGTTAACCATATTTTCGGTTTATTAACTAATATTTTCTACACAAAATCATGAAACTTGTGAAATAGTAAGAAACAGTAACAATAAATGACATTGACATTTGTTTCTACGGATTCCATTGTAAAGAACAGGCCACTAGATCTTTCGGCAAAATACACTCGCGTTAAACAGCTCATCTTTTTAAAAATACATTACAATACATTTATTTTTTTTTGTCATAAATCCTTAACTTTTCGAAGAAACTTGAAGAGATCAAAAAGTTAGTAAATGAATGGGGTTTTTTAGACATATTTTTTAAAAGGAAAAAATTTTATCGAAAAAAAAATTATAAGAAAAAATGTCATAGGGGTTGATTATTTCAACCCCTTACAAAAATAGTTCAGGGTTGAAAAAAATTCAAAAAGTGTAGTTTTATTGACAGATAATGTTCACCAAGTTTGGTTTCTTTAGCTTGATGTACGTGGAAGATAAAAAAGAAAAACAATTTTTTTTTGTAATTTTAGGAGGGGCGTAACTTTTCAGGGGAGGGTTTTTTCAAAAAATTTTATACCAAAAACCCCTATTAATTTTCATCGGAGAATCGCCCCTTGAATTTTTTCGGTGTTATTTAGATACACCCTGTATATTGAAGTTTAAAAATATCACATCTATTTCGACTTTCGGGCCCAGGGGTCAGACCATGTTTATTATACGTTTTTTGGGTCGCTGAATCCGAATCCGTCCATTTAACCCCATCACCTCAGGATTTTTCATAACCTCAAAAAATTCGATATTCTGAACAATTAAACCATATAACCTTAAAATTCAAGCTTTCAACGCTAAATCCAATTAACCAAATCCCATAAACATTTACCCCAATGATATCCCAACCTAATAAGCCCATGAAACCAAACCCCAATAACCCCATAAACCCATAACCAAGGGAATAAATCATAGGCAATTTGTATTATAGCAAAACATCACATAGCTCTGGATTCCTCGAAAACCCAAGTACTCAAACCCAAAAAATTCCCATAACCCTATAACCCCATAACCCCGTAACTTTATAATCCCATAACCCCATAACTAACAAATAATAGGCAATCTGTATTATGGCTAAAGGTTAACGTGCTTGAGGATATCATAAAAACCTATGCAGTCAAACCCTAAATCCCCCATGACCCTACAATTCATAACCCCACGATTCCCTAACCACAACTTCATTATCTTGTACTTTAATAATAATAATAAAAATAATATCACTACCCCTCATTCTAACCACGAGAATTAGCCCAGAAGTAGGAAACTTGTGCGGGAGAGGAGGCGGCATATTATTATTATTGATCCCATTCACCAAAGAACCGAGTGTTACAGTCGATCTAGTTTTTTTTATAACTTTAATTGGTAGAATCATCGGGATTAGTATTACCCGATGTATAAAACGAGGCGGTTGCGCGATCGGATTTCGTACAGTATATAGCTCTCATAAGAGCTTTTGAAAAAAAAAAAATTAAGGGATAGACCGTACTATAAATGACTAGAATGATTAGATCAAAAGACTAGATCAATATATGGGATGCATTTTGGGTTTGAGTACTAGGGTTTCAAGGAGTCCTCAGCTATGCCTATGATTTATTCCCTGGGTTATGGGGTTACGGGGTATGGGGTTATAGGGTTATTGGGGTTTGGGTTCATGGGCTTATTAGGTTAGGATATCATTGGATTAAATGTTTATGGGATTTGGGTAACTGGATTTACCGTTGGAAGCTTAAATCTTAAGGTTATATGGTTTAATTGTTCAAAATATCGTTTTTTTTGAGGTTATAAAAAATCCTGAGGTGATGGTATTAAATAGACCTCGTATTCGGATTCATCGACCCAAAAACTTATTATAAACATGCTCGCAAATGTCGTTTTTTTTTTGTGTGACTGTGTTATTAACGCTCAAAGATCACATTTGAGGTGGGCCACCATAAATGCGATTTGGGATATAAGTTTGAACTTCTATGTCTTCTTTATTTGTTAACGGAAACAGCGTAGTTATACCAAAATTGGCGTAACATTTTCCGAGAAATCGAATGATGTAATTCGAGAATTCTCACTCGACCTCGAGGGTTAACGTTGACTGATGAAGCCTGGGCTAAAGATTTAACTAATTAATGGGATGTTGAATAAGTTATCTCTGTTTTTTCGTGAAAATGAATCCTTTATTTAAAAAAAAAATGGTAAAAAACATGTCCCTGAAAGGATTGTCCATCGCTAGCGTCCACTAGTCCACGTCTTTTGAGTCTATCCAAGAGTAGACCCATTTTTTGGCAACTTCATAAGAATGAAAGTGATGCTCAGCCAAACCATGTGACATCGATCGGAAGAAGGGGCAATGTCTGGTGAATATGGCGCGTGGGGTTTCCAAGTAGGTTTTCATCGGCCACATGTTGCAAACATGTGGCCGAGCGTTGTTATGTTGCAAAATCACTTTGTCGTGTCTCATCTATCATCAACGCATCTACTATAGTCGATAGCGATCTTCCGTGATGTGTTCATTCGGTTTAAGCAGCTCATAATAAACTACAATCAGCTGATACCACCAAACGCAGAGCTGAAAAAATATATCTTTCGTTTTATTCGAAAAAACGCGCCTGTATCTCGACATCGAAACATTCCAATCCAGAAACATATTTTATAAAAACCGCCATTTGTAAACCTACCACCAAAATTTGACAGTCTATCATTAACACCCTATATATTCCGAATAATTCTCACGATTTTACAGGCCCGAGCCGTCGAAGAACAACGGACAATATTTGGGAAAGACACAAACCGACCTATAACCTTCGACGATATTCAAGCAATGAAATACTTGGAATTAGTCATTAAAGAAACACTACGAATATATCCGTCAGTGCCATTTCATGCAAGAAACACAGACATGGACGTCGAATACAAAGGTATATTTTTCAACTAAATAAAGGAAGTTCTGCTTTTTAAATGTTTTTCATTTAATTTTTATAGATCCGTAAACAGGAAATGAGAAAAAGGCCTTTTTCACATTCTCAGAAATTTTTGTAAGGTCAGAATTCGCGGATCAATTCGTTTTTTTTTGTGACGCTCTGTAAAATAAAAACAAGTGTCTGTATAAATCAAGTGTAACATAATTTTAGATGGACAAATCATTCCAAAGGGAACCAGTTTGGTAGTTTATGTCTACGGAGTCAACAATAACCCAGAAGTTTTCCCCAATCCAGAAAAGTTTAATCCGATGAGATTCGAGAACATGGAGAAGACATCGCCATTCGCTTATCTGCCATTCAGCGCTGGACCTCGTAATTGTATAGGTGGCTATGACTATAATAACAAGCTTTCATTTGTTTCTAGTTTTTATAATTGGCACTAGATTATACATCGATGAAAAAACGCATTCGTTACACCTTTAGTTTTGATAATTTCACATGTGATCTATTTTCAGGGCAAAAGTTCGCGATGCACGAGATGAAGGTTGTGTTATCCAAAGTATTGAGGAATTATGAGTTGTTACCTGCCATTCCCAAACATGAAGTGCAGCTAGCTGCGGAGACTGTACTGAAGTCAGCAAATGGCATTAAAATCAGACTAAAATATAGAAATTTAAATTAATCTTCACTACATTTAATGTTATATCCAAAATTTATAACCGAAATCACCATGTTATTGTTAATTAAAAATAAATAAGTAAACAAAATAAAAAAGTCGAGTTTTAACATCATCTTGAGTTATAAGGGTGTTAGAAATTATGTCAAGCCGCTACACAGATTCTTCATCGAGAGCTTTCGATAGGATAGGTCACAAGGTTTTACTATACAGGGCGTTGCCAAATGCAAGAATTCTAGAGCAGATTCTACATCCAAAAATACGAAAAATCGTAGGTCCACAAATGCTTCGTTTTTGAAATAGAGGGTGTCAAAAAAAATAAATAAAAAAATATGTTTTTTATTGATAATTTCTGAATTTTTCATTGGAAAGCGTTTAAATTTGGATCAATACATACGTAGGTTATAGGTGGGTATAATTGATTGCATTTCAGACCCGTCAGGAGCGTAGATATGGGGAAGTACCTATTGATTTTAACCAGAAATTCTACGCCACTGGCGTTTCTACTGGTTTTTACTTTATTCTAGAGCAAAAAGGTTCCCTTCCACATCTGTCAGTTAGCGAGCGGCTTTCGAGCTGTTGAAGATTTTTAAAAATCACCATCAGGAGTATAAGTTTCACTGTTTTGCCTAGTCGATTTGATGTTACTAATTTAGAAGAATTTGTATGTGTGTAATTTTTTATACAAGCTTCTTTATGATCTTATATAAATAAGTCCTGTCGGCGTTGCTTTTTACTAACATTTTTATGTACCCAGGCTAAATTTAAAAAAAAATATTGTATCGTTTTTGATAACTTTAATCGATCACAGCGACCTTGTGACATTTTCCGTTGGTCATTAAATGTCCTTATTAATTTAATAATTTAAAAGTATACTAACTAGCATTTAGTTGTATTTATCATTGTAATACATTGTAATATTAGAATATACTCATTAATAATAACACAGCTCAACATTTAGTTTGAAAAAAAACACCGGACTCTGTCTAGTAGTACAATTAAATAAGCCTTTAAATCGAAATTTTTGTCAACTGGCCTGCATTTTTTATATGAGTTAGTTTGAGGTATATTATAACAATAAGTGACAGTATTTTTTTGTTCAACCCTCGGTCAAGGGTGAAAAAAGATAAAACAAAGGAGTTTTTCAGGATAACTCAAAAGGGGCAAGGGCTAAAAAAAGTTTCTTATAAAAGTTGTAAAGTTTACAATTCTACATAAAAATGGCCTCTTGACTTTTTCTTGTATTATTAAAATTAACAGAGTTAGGGAGGCTAGAAGTTAAGGGAAGACTTCAGAAATTTAAAAAAATCGTAACAAGCAGAAAAATGAATAAATTATGTATTTTTTTTTCCAATCTACTCTAAAAAAATGTAAAGAGACACGTATTTTTTTATCGGCGGAAAAACATATTTACGAGGTGAAATACACCCTCAAAGTTCGCCCCCCCCAAAACAGTTTTTTCAAAATTTCTGGGGATCAATATTTTGAAATGAAACAAAATGGAAATTACTTATGATAAAAAACAAATATTTCGCAAGTGATTCTGTGTTTGGGGGTTGCTATCCTTATTTTTTATTTCAGAAAAACTATATTTTTTATTTATAAAAAGTCCTATTTACTCAAAAAGAATTAAAAATATGATTTATGTAAACAAATTGACAAAACTAGATTGACCTGTTTCGATGGGGGTGAACAACAAATTTGAAATTGTTATAACTTTCTTATTAAAAATTAAAAAATATATCTATTTCTCTGAAACGAAAGGTTACATTTTTTAGAGTAGATCGAAAAAAAAATTATAAAATTCATTAATTTTTCTGTTTATGATTTTTTTAAATTTCTGAAATGTTCCCTTAATTTCTAGCCACCCTAACTCTGTTAATTTTAATAATACAAGAAAAAGTCAAGAGGCTATTTTTATGTAGAATTGTAAGCTTTACAACATTTATAAGAAACTTTTTTTTTAGCGCTTGCCCCTTTTGAGTTATCCTGAAAAACTCCTTTGTTTTATCTTTTTTCACCCTTGGCCGGGGGTTCAACAAAAAATTACTTGCACTTATTGTTATAACATTCCTCAAACTAACTCATATCAAAAATTCAGACAAGTTGACCAAAATTTCGATTTAAAAACTTATTTAATTGGACGGAAAGTGAATTGCAATTTCAGTATCTATAGTTTGTGATTATCGTCCTTTCAAAATGTTTTTTATATACATCTCTTAACATCCTTCATAAAACCATTAAAAAATTGGAGCAAAAACAAACATTTAAATTGTTACATGGGTAAATGTCACAAATAAATAATTCAAGATCATTAACACGGTGTCATCGATATTCAATCTGTGTAGGCAATAAAACAATGTTATATACGGGTATATTATTTGGCAAACCATCCATATTCAAATAATACATGAACCCGCACGATTCACAGGAAATTTTGCATTTCTCCTTACCAAAGATACTGTTTCATTATAACCGTATTGCCATTTAACTAGTACGTATCGGACTAAATCAACGCACTTAAACCTACAAATCGTCGACCTTGCATACAGTAATAATATAACGAGTCTCGCAACGGATTATTTTACGAGATACCGACATACAAGCGAATGGTGAATGACTATGCTTTCAGTAATTGAAGTTCTATTTGCACTCGTGCTAGTTGGTGCAGGTTATTGGTGGATAAGTAAGAAAAGGTATGAGAGAAAACTGAAATGGATACCGAAAGTACCGGGCCATCCGATATTTGGGAATGTTTTGGACTTTGCAAAGACTACAGGTACGTGACAAAAGAAAAGATTTTTGTTAGTATCAAACACAAATATTTAAATAGGTAGTTGCAATGTAGATAAATAAATAACATTAGTTAGATCATTTTTGGAATTACAAGTGCATTTGCAGAATGAAGTACAGAGAAACAGTAAAAATATCAAAAGTTATAGCTGAATATGTTTTAGATTAGGTGGTAAAAATTTGTGGAACCTTTTGCAAAACTTTTAGAAATTGTACCTTTAAAATAGACATATTTCTTTTTATTTTAGGTAAAAACAGACAGATTAGGATTTATTTTTTTACTTTCCTTTAATTTTGCAAATTTTACATTTTATTACTCTAGTAGGCCATGAGTTTGATATAAACCCACTAGCAGAACTCTAATCGTCTTCTACCAAAGTTTACAAAATATTTATTCTGTAAACTTTGCTTAGACAATTTTCATCACTTAATTCCTGTAGTAATTGGACTTGGTATGGATGCATTTTATTGTCCTTTAATATTCTTTGAACAGATTTTCTTCAGTGAATGTTCTTTTTTTCCTAACACTTTTAGAATAAGCTACAGTACCGGAATTATCAAAACGATTTATTACTTTTTTAAAAGTTCGTACCTACACTGGGCTCTGTGAATAGCGTTGAAGATAAATTCGTGTTGCTAATAAAGGATTTTTATCACTTGCACCCAATATTTATATTTCATTTTGAGGTATTTTTAAACTTACAATACAGCATTTGTCAGTTAACACTAACTACTGACAATTAAACAACAACAGTAAACTTGCAGATTTTTATATTTTATGTCAACTGGAGTAATAAAATGTAAAATTTGCAAAATTAATGGGTTTTTGCTAGAAAAGTGCAAATAGTGATTTTAGGCATAGGATATTATTTGCAAAAGTTATGGGTAATTAACACATTAATCCAAAAATAAAATAATATACCGGCTGTTTCATTTAAAAAAATCGAGAAAATGTCCTTCGAAGTTTGCTAAACTGGGGCTTATGTGTAGAACACCCTGTACAAAATTATAAAGATTTTGCCATTTTGTTGTTTGTCCAGATCTTTGGTCGGCATGCCTATAAAATATTTTTTCTTAATTACTAGTAGTACTTGCACGGTGGATAGATTTATAGAATCCTGTTCCAGAGAAAATAATATTATTTTTTCAAATAACTTGGCATCGCCGCATCGAACAAGAAAACAAAGACATCGCTGAAGAGAATTTTCTGTAGAATACAAATTTGTAAAAATATACAGAGTGTTCCATTTAAGAAAAACCTCCTTAAAGATGCTCCGCCCTAATGCACCAGCCTGTATAATTCAAAATATTTTTTAAATGTGAATTTTTTTAAATACATCACTCCCATAAAATATTTCTTTTCAAATCTTTATAATAAGGGAGATAATGAACTTTGTTACACTATTGGGCCACCCTGTAGATAGAAGATTCTATACAAAATATAATTTCAATCGCAAATAAATTGTTACCATCTTCAGCGAGCCTACAGAAATTGCTAATAATACAACATACAGCCTCATTGAATACCCAGAACTAGTAGCTACGATAACTGACGGCACTGGATCTGGCATAAATTTAACTCACTACAATATCGGTACTTTCAATTTACGTGTAGTGAAAATAAATGTATATTGTTTAATTAATAAAATCATAAACAAGTTTCGAAAAAATGACAAATTATTTTGACATGTGTTTTATGTTCTAGAACGAAACAGACTTTGGCTCTCTAGAACATAATAGTATATTAAACAAGGTTTGAAAACGACTCTGCACACGAGCGAGACATATTGGTGGACCGAGCCGAAGGCGAGGTCCACAAGTCGAGCGAGTGTGCAAAGAGGATTTCAAACGAGTTTTTTACGATACTTTTTATACGACTGCAAACAGAGACCACAAAAATCAAATTTTAATTTAAATCGTTTTTATTACTAAAATTGCCAACGCATTAACAAAATAAATTAAATACAACTTTTAATTTAACTCGTTTTTATTAAGAAAATTGCTAACGCATTAACAAAAGAAACTAATATTTAATATTTATGGTAACATTTGAACATTCCTTCAAGGTTACGCTGGGAAAAGCAGTATTATTGTGCACCTTGTTTTCGGTAATAGAGAATATTTTTGGTGTCGTGTTTTTAGTGCAGTTTTTCAGCGTGCGGTCGTTGTTTTCTTGTTGTATTCCAGTAGACGATCGTTGTTCTGGTTCTGTGGCAGCAGAAGACACTGAAGACTCTATCTTTTTCGAAACTTCCATTTTATTTCTCAAACAGTCATCAACGTAGCCTTCGGCAACTGTACTGGATTTCCACCCTCCATGGCGTTTGAGGGCAAGCAGATTTGAGCCAGAATTGACTAAAATTGTGGCCGATGAACGCCGAAAACAATGTCCCGTGTAACTTTCTGGATTCTCTAGCATCAAAAACTTGGCGATTTCCCTAGCCATGTTTCCAATTTTGTTGATGCCAACGTTTTGGCTTGAACATTTTCCGTTTTGATAGTTTAAAAAAAACCTGCCTGTCTTCAGATTAGGAGGACGAAGAGCACAGTACTTTTTTAAGATAGTGTAAAGGTTTCCTGTAATTGTAAAACACCTTGGTACCTTTGTTTTTGTATTCTTCAGTTTAATCAGCATAGCACTGCCGAAATCTTTGGTGTCTTCTATTTTGAGATAACATAATTCCTCCCTTCGACATGCCCCAGATAGTCCAACTGCCACCACCGCCTTGATAAGTAAATATTTGTCGTCTGATGCTTTCGTCAAAAACCGGCAAAAATCATCTTCTGTGAGGATTTGGGACTTCTTTGGGACGTAGTTTTCGGATTTTCGTTTGATTAGCGCTTGCAACTTTTTATAGCTTCCAAGATCTATGTTGTGATTGGCACTTAACGTTGACTTGAGCATCGAAAAAATCGTCCACAACGTCGAAGATTTATATTTCTTAGATAGTTCTTCAAAATACACCATTACTGCGTTTTCTGAGAAAGTTTGGACATTTTTGGCTAGTCGCCAGTCCATAAATCGGCTTAACTCAGCTTCATACCTGCTTCTGGATTTTGTGGGCAGCAGTTCCGAACATATTTCGCTTGCTTTCTGTAAAATCTCTTCAGAATCACACATTTTCACACCCAAACTTCGGGAATTCAACAATTTTTGAAGTATCTAATCAACAAAATAAAGGAGCCGTGACGGTTGCTATGAAACTCAGCCAACTTGAAACATTGCATAATTTGGGTGACAACATCAAACAAAAATCACAATCTGGAGACGCGTGTGCAAAGATGACATAACCGTGTGTAAAATGTTTAGCACACGGCGTGTGCAAAATACCGTTTTCAGAGCGTGTTTTCCGTGCGCAAAACCCCTTTTGCAAGGCAGTCGTATAAAAAAGTATTTTGTAGCTAGGTGACAAAAAAGACTCACTTTGTCAACTAAACATTTAACGAAAACGTCTACTTTTGATGACAGTTTTCGAAAAAATTATATTTGATGTCCAAATGACATGTATTTTTTCTGATTATTATAAAAAATGTTCAATAGTTATCTACCTAAAAGATTGATATCTAATTAATAATGGTGTAAAGAGTCTAATAAAAATTGAATAAAGAAAAGTGAACTGTAAATTTTTATAAATATGTACTTTTGGTGCAGCAATAATACTCCAAACTGACACTTTCCTATTCCAGACACTTTGAAGGTGCTGTCCAGCTATCTGAAGCAATGCAATGGCTTGTGTTCAGTAGATCTAATAGTAAAGAAGAAAATAGTAATAAGCGACCTAAAACTCTTGGAGCTTCTTTTGACCTCAACAAACGAATTCTTAAACAAGTCGGTAGAATACAAATTTTTACAGAGATGGTTGGGGGACGGTCTACTAACAGCAAAAGGTAATAATCCTCAGATAAAACGAAACTAAAGATAGTTAATTTCGCCTTCTCCTAGACGAAAGGTGGAGGAAGAGTAGGAAAATAATAACTCCTGCCTTCCATTTCTATATTCTGAGACAATTCGTAAGTATTTATGAAACCAATGCGGATACCATGATAAAACTATTGGAGAAAGAGGTTGGGAAAGATTCGGTGGATATCTATACATACGTAACGCTGTGTACTTTGGATATAATCTGTGGTGAGTAACCAATATTTACTTTCTTAGTGAAAGCGAAAAATTAAAGGAATAAAATCAACGACCAATTTGTTATAAAGCATATAATTTTTTCGTTCCAAACTGGTGAACGTTCTATAAAATTAATTCCCTATATCCATGTACTTAAATTAATAAATAATTAAAATGCGTTTAATGAGATTCCTAAAGTCCAACTCAAATTATTACCATCAAATGATTAGTTAGTATAATCGTATAACTCATTATATTAAACGCTCAGGTTCAAATTATGTTGATAATTTTCTCATGTCCTGTTTCTGTGTATTTGTTTACAATTATGCAATAAAAGAGTGAGTATACAGGGTGTCCCTGAAAAGGATGGACAATGCTTGACCACAGGTTCCTTGGATGAAAATAAGACTATTTAGCCTAACTTACCTATATACAAAAGTGCACGCCTACTGAGATATAGCCTTCTAAATATAGAATAGATAACCTAGTTTTTTTTCAAATAATTTGAAAACTATTTTTCTTAGAAACTTCAAATTTGATACACTAATTTTTTTATCCAAGGGCAAGGTAAATAAAGAATTTGGTGAGAATACACATACAGGATGTTCTCTTTCTAGTGCCTGTGCGCCACTGGCTATCCCGTAACTTTTTTGTGTGTGCGCCAATGACGACTAAATTATATATTTTTAAAAATAAGCATTAACTTAGAGGATCGTTTATGGATTTCGGGTAAAACTGCATTTTTTATACATTAAATACAGGCAAAAATTCAGATTAAATAGAAATAATTTATAACTGCAGCCTCAAAACAGGGAATAATAATGAAAAAACGTCACATTAAAAAAATAACTACACATTTTTAGTATTAGTATTATCAATCAACAAAATAAAAATCAACACTAATATTTTAAATAAACAGTATCAACCAAGGACATTTCAATAAAGGGGACTTATTTATTTACATTTCTAGATGAAGCCTGGTCTATTCACAGTCTAATTGTATCATTGTTGTCAGCTGTATAATTATACTGGAAATGTACTTAATATTTTTATCGCAATTTTCATCACAATTGTGAAAATTATTATTATAGGATAGTATTATTAAGTTATGCATACAATATTGTTAAATTCTGTACATATTAAACTATTTTTCATTTTTCATATTTGCCATGTTTGAAGACTTGGCAACTACGCAATAATTTGTAGCGTGTTCCTCGTTCGTTCTGCCGTGGTTGGCAGAATATGGCGTCTCTTGTTAGAAAATAGTTGTGATTTTAGTAAGTGAAACGTGATTAGTGTTTATACATGTATTTTGGATAAACTTTTAAGGTGTGAATATGGTTAGACAGTGCAGAATTTGTAAGAAATTGGATTATAAACATCCACATCAGCTATCCTTCCACAGGTAAGCGTGCTTGAAGGTGACTTTGGAATGTATATGCAACTGTGGCCATTGTCGTGCGTGTGGGTAACTTTTATTTGAATAACGGTAAAATTTTATAAAACTGACTTGGTATTTTTTTAAAATTTTTGCTGAAATAGTAAGAAAACAATAATATGAACCACGTTTGGCCATTAAAATCAAAGGAAAATGCTGCACCACAAATAAGTTACAGACATTATTTATATTTAATATATTTATAGGTATTTCAATGTTATCCCTTATACCCAACATTACAAATTTTAATCATTCATCATTTTCATTTTCCTCTACGACAAAAACCTTTTCAAAAATATATTTACAATTTTACTAAATGCACGAGCATAAAAACTGAATAAATACAACAGCAAAAATATGGTGGTGGTTCACTTATACATAAAAATACCGAAGATGCAATCAACTGAAAGTTGCATTCATTCAACCATTTGATGTTCTCCTTTGGGAATATATTTTTATGTCTCACTGAAAATTTGCCTCAGTATTCTAAAAGTGAAATGTGAACGTTTTTAGGATGCTTGGGGATGGTGCAACAAGAAAGAAATGGTTACAGTTATTGGGATTCCAAGAAGTTATAAAAATATTATATATATTTATTATAAAAATACTGAGTAGCTGTTGAAATATATTGACTTAGGACTATAAAATATTTTATTTTGATCCATCCAAAATGTACGACATTGGAGATGTAATCGCGCGCATCAGTTGGATGAAAATAAAGCCCTCTGCTTTCCCCTTGTCTAGCTTCACCCAACATATGAGATAGACTGTGACATGCATAGTCCCCTTTATTTAAATGTCCTTGGTATCAACTAATAATATAAGAAAGTCAACATTGACATTTTATATAAACCTAAATTGATATTTGTAATCACATTAAAATAATATTACAGTAAATGCTCAAAGTTACTTCCTTGTTCTTAAACGCAAGCATTAGTTCTTCGAAAATGAAAATGAATTTTATAACACTAATTTCATGTTGTATTCTTTCCCATTATTCGTTTTCTGTATTTACTGAAGAGTATAAACTGTGGTCCGCAACGCTTCCCAAAGGAAATAATTACATGGGTTTAGGTCCGGGGATCGAGGTGGCCATTTTAAAGGGCAATAACCTGTAATAACTGGTCTTTCAATACTCTATTAACGGAACTTTTTGAAAGCCAACCTCTGCCGCTAAACGCCTTTTATTTACTTGATGAATTTCCTCGACCTTTTCCAAAATTTGTTCCTCGAACTGAACAGTTCCGACCGTACATTATCCACGATTTAATGTTACAGTTAAAAGTTGTTATTTGGAATTCTTCGATTAGGAAAACTCAGCATATGTTCGAACAGTAGCACAACAATTTCCTTCACAATAACCCAAAACTAATAACATATTAGTTTGTTCAGCAAAAGTATAAATTGCAGTAAAAAACAAAGTAAACTAAAATTAAATCACAGCTAGCTTGATACTGACCCTTTTAATTATTGTTTTTGTTATATGGCACCTCGTACTAGACTATTCTATTTATCTTAAACTAATTTTATATTATTTAATGTGTAAAAAATGACAATTTTACTCGAAATCCATAAACGATATCAAAATTTTGTAAGAGGCAAAAAATCTTCTAAAATAGTGCTTAGTTTTAAAAATACATATTCTGTCGTCATTGATGAACACATAAAAAAATTAAGGGATAGCCAGTGGCGCACAGGCACTAGAAAGAGAACATTCTGTATATGTATTATCACCAAATTCTATATTTACATTGCCCTTATATAAAAAAATATGTATACCAAATTTGAAGTTTCTGAGAAAAACAGTTTTCAGATTATTTGAAAAAGAACTAGATTATTTGTTCTATATTTAGAAGGCTATATCTCAGTAGGCGTGCATTTTTGTATACAGGGTCGGAAAGTCCTCATGGTTCATTGGCCGTTACGTGAGAGCGATACAGAAAGTCATAGAAATCCGTACGATAGAGAAAGATGGCTATAATGAAAGCGTCTAATAGTCACCGCCCATTTCGCCCTTCCACAAATAAGATCCACTTCTTAGGCTAAATAGTCTTATTTTCATCCAAGGAACCTGTGGTCAAGCGTTGTCCATCCTTTTCAGGGACACGCGTAGAAGCCATGATCAAAATCACTTAAGAGTATCCTTCTGTGAACCAATTTACAAATAAAACAGTTCTTATAATAAATAGATGATTGAATAAAGGTTATTTTTTCAGAAATATGTTAATTTTTCCCCTCGATAGCCTATTAATATTATACCGTGTGTTACAGAAACCTCGATGGGAGTAAAGATAAACGCACAGACAAACGGACAGTCAGATTACGTTTTCGCGGTCAAAGAGATGTGCAGGATAACCGTAGATCGCGGATTTTCAGCCATGAAGCGGTTAGATCTACTGTATGCTCTCACCAAAGATTATTACAAGGAGTTGAGATATGTAAAAACGTTACATTCATATACCGAGTCTGTAATTCGTGCTAGGAAGAAATCGTTACTGAGCGATCATTCAAAAAATGATGTTCAAACTGAAGAAAAGCTGAAAAACGTTTACGGAGAAGAGTTGGGCGCCAAGAAAAAAATGGCGTTCCTTGACTTACTCCTACAGGCTAGGTTGGATGGAGAACCTTTACCTGATCTATATATCAGAGAGGAAGTCGACACTTTAATGTTTGAGGTTTGTAAAATAACAAAATCGTGAAGAAAATAACACGTATTTATACTACTAACTAAACAGGGTGTCGCTTTTGTGATACATTGTCATGGTACTTTAAAATCATATTTTTGTTGTGTTACCGGATCAAGAAAATGAAGAGAATTTTTAAAGCTACTTAAAGTTTATTCTGAAGACGATATGGATGTCTCTCGGAACGTCAAGAAGTCGAAGCCGACAACGTGGCAATATTATTCAACAGTTCACCAAAATTTACCATTGTAGGTCACTAAAATATTTTGCAATTGTGAAAATAGACCATCCTGTATATTATATTCAGAAATATTGAGCAAAATCTGAGCTAAAAATACATTTTCTAAAATATCTAAAATAATTTTACATCAACTGTCTTTTCATATTGAAAAATTAATATTTTCTAATAATAAAATGGTTTTATGAGTGGTTGTTCTACTACTTTATTCAGCCTTATTGCAATAACAGATACCAGTTTAAACAGCATCGTGTCTATCACTTACATAAATTTCATCAATCTTCACAGGGGTTCCGCAAGGGTCTATTTTGGGGCCGGTATTGTTTGTTCTTTTTATTAATGATCTATCTGAATGTCTTGATGTCAATTACTTCCTCTAAGCGAACGATCTTAAGGTTGTTTTTGGAAGTTAAATTTGCCATTATATATTTAATAAGAGAAAGTGCAAGGGATATGTCTAAAGACTATACATTTCACTAGCTATGAACAAGGAGGGCTTTGTGGTACACCTAAATAATTGTTCCCTTCTCCTATTTATTTTATTGCTTTTAATAATAATCATTTCAATCATATTTTTAAATATATCAATAACATTTGTAATGCAGAAAGATATTATGTCATGTTTCTAGGCTTTGCATTACAATTACCCGCACCTCGTACAAATTGAGTAATGGCATTCTGTCATTCAAATTGATTCCCAATTATTAAAAGTATGAAGATCGGCTTAACATATTTCTTTACAATATAAAATAACGAGCCTAAAAAAATGTTTGTGTAGAAAATGTCCAAATCTTGTATATATTAATTACTTTATCTATTTTATTTGTTTGTCAACTGATTTCTTCTGCGTTTCGTTTTTATATTTTGTTTATTTAATAAATAAATAAATATTTTCAGGGACATGACACCACTGGTGCTGCAATAAGCTTTGCTTTGTTTTGCTTAGCTGAAAATCTGGAAGTCCAAGTAAGAACTATGTTTATCTATTGTACAGGGTATAACTAAAGTACCTAGCCAAACTTTTATAGCAGATTGTACGTCATAAATCAATAATTTTTTTTAAAATGGACATAATAATTTTCATTTGTAATTGTAATAAAAAGAAAATTTTGGATGACCTTGTTCCATTTTCGGCAAATAATAAAATGTTAAACCGGGTTTACGTCTTTTTTTTTTAATTTTGATATACAGGGTAGCTATACTTTCTTGTCATAGTTGTCAAAATAATGTAAAAAATTGTCTTTTGTGTCGTACTGACGACTATTTCCAATATCAAACATTATTTTAGGACACAGTATTTTACAGGCACAAGCTGTCGAAGAGCAACGGACAATATTTGGGAAAGATAGTAATCGAGCTGTAACCTTCGATGATATTCAAGCAATGAAATACTTGGAACTAGTCATTAAAGAAACACTACGAATATATCCATCTGTACCGTTTTATGCAAGGAACAGCGTCAGGGACATCGAATATAAAGGTACCTATATCTTTAAAGGAATTGAAAATAAAAAAAATAATTTGTTAATTTCGTTTTATATGTATTACTATTATTACATCAGTCGATATTTGCTTTTTTTCAAATTCCTTCAGAACTGTTGAACATCAGGTTTAAAGATAACCTAACCTGAAATTTTTCCCGCGAAGTAACATAACCTCAAATGTAGCAGAAAACCGCTCTTTTAGGTTAGGACATCTCGAAAACCTGACGTGGTGCAGCAAATCTAAGGTAGTAGTCAGTTTCAAAAACCTTCGGAAAGGTATAGCCTGGATTCTGGTTTAAAATTTTGTCTGATACTTACCAGTCGAAAATAAAAAAAATGTCCCTATAAATGAACACAACACAATTTTAGATGGACAAATCATTCCAAAGGGAACAAGTTTGGTCATTTACGCCTACGGAGTGAACAATAACCCAGAAATTTTCCCCAATCCAGAAAAGTTCGATCCAATGAGATTCGAGAATATGGAGAAGACATCTCCATTCGCTTATCTGCCATTCAGCGCTGGACCTCGCAATTGCATAGGTGGCTATGACTGCAACATACTAGCTTTTATTTGTTTCTATCTTTTACACATTGACACTAGATTATTTATTGATTATTTATTTTCAGGTCAAAAGTTTGCGATGCACGAGATGAAGGTTGTAATATCCAAAGTTTTGAAGAATTACGAACTGTTACCTACTATACCCAAACATAATCTTGAATTGGCTGCGGAGACTGTCCTGAAGTCAGCAAATGGCATTAAAATTAGACTAAAATGCAGGAACTGGGATTAGATTATTTATAAAAGAAATTATTGTTAATTGTTAGTCAATTAAAATAATGATTTAGTAGTATTTAATTGGACTGGATAATATATTGGAATATTAATATTATATAATTTGCATACGAGAATTTTTTAGTATTTCTTGTATAGTTTGTTGAATATAGAAATGAGTATAAAATTAATTTGAAATAAATTATGTATATTTTGGTGTTACAATGATTTTTATTGAAAAACTTTGCGTGCAAAATATTAGTGTTCCTTTTAGGTGAATCTAAAACCAAGTAAAAAAGTAGTCTTTGGCAGTTTGTTTGATAGGTGTGGATTTTGAGGTACTTTCAAATTTTGAGAGGTTTAATTCCGAAATTTAAATAAGAACACGTGTCTAACTTTCGTAAGCCTTTTTGAAATAAAGTTTCATGGTGTTGCAAAGGGTTCTGAATTCGAGACCACTTTCGTGAAATAAATAAAAGAAAATTCAGTCTTGGAATACATAATAATAATTAATTAAGAGCATGCATCATCAATTATTATAGAAACAGCTAAAATATGTATAAAAATTCCTCAAATTGGCTTTAAAAACCTACAGAAGTGCCAGAAAAGCTATAAATGTGTTAAAGTGTCACAGAAATGAATTAAAAAATCATTAAAATTCTTCGAAGTCGTTTCAGATTGCATAAAAATGATAAAAATAGCTAGTTTGATGCTTTTTGAAACATCCGAGGGATTTTAATGGATTTTGCAAACTTTGTTGGTATATGTTGATAAATCCTGAAGTTATTATTATTTATTCTAAGGTTGTTTTGTGGTGTTTTTTTGCGTATTTGTATATCGCAAAGGTGGTTATGTATTATTTGTTTTTGTATAAAAGAGATAAGGCATCATAAAATGAAAAGCTTATAATGAAAAATTAAGTAAGTAAGTTTAAGACATTACAGTTTTGCACAACTACTTTTGTTTTTCGTTCTGAGAAATATTACATAATTACATTTTGTGGTAACCCGTAGAGAAACTACAGTTTACCGACGAATAAGACAATTTTTTTATAAATCTCTGTGCTCACTGGTGGAGCCTCAGTGGACCTCATTTACACATACTGTATATGTGCAAATCTTTCTGAGGTCTCAAGGTCAGTAACTCCTATTTTATTTTTTAAGCTGAAAATTCACAATTTATTCATGTACTATGTACTTAGAGTGTTATTCATTTATTCATAAGACATTTAGAAATATAAAATGTTCGGTTTTGTAAACTTTAAAGGCAAATGCTTATACAAGGAAATATTTTAAATTTAGACGAAGAAAATGCTGCTCCATTCTTGGCTTGTTATATTGTAAAACCCTATATGTATATCTTTGTTTATAAATACAGAGTGTCCCAGAAGTAATTAAAGAAATTCGTATTTTATTTTGTATTGCGTTTTCACAAAAACGCTAAAACACGTCAATTAGTAAATAGGAATTGTCATTTTGTCACGTTGCTCAAACCGTTTTTGCGCTATGTTTCATAAACCTATGACGTCATCGACATTTTTTTTAAATAGCACTACCTAAATTTTTAAACATAAATGGATAGTCCTTTTGAAGGGAAATCCGTCGATATTGGGTTTGGCCTACTTTACTTTGACAGGAGCGAAAAAAAAGCCAATGACTAGAATGGACATGGTTTAAAATAACAACAAAAGTAGGTATCATAAACTGATGCGAGAACAGTGCCACAGCAAAAAATTGAAATTTGTGGACGTTTTGTGTATTGGTTGATTGTAGGTACGTTTTTATGTATTGATATGTTGGCGTTTTCGGCGATACGACGAATGGCAGTGTGTGGATTTTCAGTGACAGCTAAACATAACATTTTGTCTATCATTTTCTATCACTGTCATTGGCCTTCTAGATCTAGACAGATTTCTAACATGGCCAGCGTCTTCAAATTTGGGTACTAATCTGCATACTGTAGACGGAGGTATTGGTTGTTCTGGATACTTGGCATTGAATAATTGACATACTTCATCATAACTACGGATCCTATCTCCGTATCCAACCATAATTAGGATTTCAGTTCTTTGTTTCTGATTTAAACACAACACCATCGTAATGTAAAGTTATGATATTTGTAACTGTCACAATGATATGAGGCACTATTGCATTCGCTAACTGTCTTCTTCAGAACAATGCCTACATAGCCACTGTGATCGGACCTACCCAATCTACATAAGAACATGTACCTACAATCAACCAAAACACATTTTTTACTATAACACTGTTCGCGTATTAGTTTGTGATACCTACTTTTGTTATTAATTCAAATCATGTTCATTCCAATCGTTGGCTTTTTTTCGCACCTGTCAATGTAAAGTAGGCCAAACCCTATATCGATACATTGCCCTTCAAAAGGGCTATCCATTTATGCTTAAAAATTAGGTAGTGCTATTTAAAAAAAATGGCGATGACGTCATAGGTTTATGAAACATAGCGCAAAAAAGGTTTAACCAACGTGACAAAACGACAATTTCTATTTACTAACTGACGTGTTTTAGCGTTTTTGTGAAAACTCAACACAAAATAAAATACGAATTTTTTGCGTTACTTCTGGGACACACTGTATATATATATATACGCATGTAAGGATATCTAATCTAGTTATTGTCTTGTTATCAATCTGTTTGGATCACGTAGACAGTTGCCAATAACGATCGTCATTTGTTTGGATGCCAGTTACTTTGTGGGATAATCATGGTGACGAGGCAATTTCTCATATTAACCTCTCATATCCAAGTAGTCGCTGCCCATAACGTGACATTTCAATTCACATAAAACCAATTTAATAATTGTAAGTCTCAGGAGCGTAACTAAGACGAGGGCTAAGGAGGCTGCTTAAAAAATGGTTGCAAACCAAATGTAGTTAAAGTTACATGTTACCGAAGGGTCTGAGCGGAAAACTGTCCAGTGGTGTAAGGTCTGGGCTATTTGAAGACCATTGAATATTTCTTCCATTACNGGTATAATTTTTATTAATTAAATTCATTTGTTTTTTTTGGATAGAGGATAATTGTGTTCTGATGGGAAACAGATTCATAAAAATCTCCGTTTTCAAAGTATCTGTTTTTCACCGTTTTTTTAGGGCGTAGTTTTAGTGACAACAATCTATTTCCCATATCTTCGGTATCTCCAATTTTTAATTTGAAGTAATTCATCACATCAACGTGCCGACATTCTCGAGCGCGGTCGATTTTTTTTTTATTTTGAAGGAAATAATTCAAGGAAAACGAGAAAAATATAATCTGCCGATTTCCATAGGCCGAAGTAACAAAAATCGTTAATAAAGTTTAGCGCGTGCAACTGCAGGGAAATACATGTTGTTTTGAAACTTCGTCAGGAAACTCCGGGAGGTGATTCTATGGATTAAAATAATAGCAGTATGTAATGAAATTTTTTTTCGAATTGTCAATTGTTCGCAAGTTACAGCTTGTCGAAGTTCATTTTTTTAAATTTTTTTATTTAAATAACTTATTTAATTCATGTTCGATTAGTCTCTCATTTGGCACACCCACTAAGTAGATGAAGCTCTATTGGACCAGTCAGAGAAAAGTTTCATTATGCGCCGCTAGAGGGCACTTTACCTAGAACTCAAAATTTGTTTGGTTCTTAACTTTTTTCTCTTGCTAGACATCACAGAAATTTAAACATTATTGAAAAGAGAAACAATATCAGAAAAAAATATGTA